AGTGTGAAAAGAGGTTAAACACACTGTGTCAGGCAGATGCGGGTGACATGCCAGCTGTCACCACGCAAGAATGCATGAATAATACATTTATATACTCCGTGATTCATGCAGCATACTGTTTTCGTTAGATAAACACAATCTTTCAGGGATCTTTGCTTGTGGCAATCGGACAGTTGTCTTAAACGAAATGTTTACATGCTCTGTTCAATATCTCAGTATTTTTTACTTGAGCGTTGAGCTGAAAACTGACATCACAGCACTCGAAACATTCCCAAAAGCGCTCCAAAACACAAAGGATCATGAGTTGTGGAGAGACTTAACTCTTTCAACCTCGAGCCAATGTTACGTTAAATCTATGATACTCCAAAGAGTTGAGCTTGAAAGCAATAAATACTCAGTTGAACTGATAGTGTGGGACAGAAGTATTAAAACTAGTGATTCAGATACGAACAGGGTAAATTTAAAAATCTATATATGGCTGAGTGTTGAGCTAAGAACCACTACCTCCTTTCGCTTTTTATTCCAAAGGAGGTCGTGTTAAGAACTAAATCACAGCATTCAGGCCATTCACATAAGCTCCTCGTGTGAGTTCCGGGGCCGTATTGTAGGGAAAACAAGAACAGACCCACTGCCTACCCAAAAGCATGAAGTAAGAGTCGACTAACTGGGAGCTTTCTTCAAAGTCGGAGTGCACCTGCCTGAGTGGCAAGGAAACAACAGCTGCATGCAAATGAGTCATATCTGTAAAATGGATGCACACGGAACATTCAGGTTCTGGACAAAGACCAAAAGTCCAGAAAAGGACGAACAACCAGAACTTTCCGTCAGAGTTTACAGCTGGTGAACGCGAAGAAGAAAAAGAAGAAGAAGAAGAAGAAGAAGAAGAAGAAGAAGAAGAAGAAGAAGAAGAAGAAGAAGAAGAAGAAGAAGAAGAAGAAGAAGAAGAAGAAAAAGAAGAAAAAGAAGAAAAAGAAGAAGAAAAATAAGAAGAAGAAAAAGAAGAAGAAGAAGAAGAAGAAGAAGAAGAAGAAGAAGAAGAAGAAGAAGAAGAAGAAGAAGAAGAAGAAGAAGAAGAAGAAGAAGAAGAAGTAGGAGAAGAAAAAGATTCCAATAAGCGGCCCGTCGTTATCTTCAGCAGCCAGCAAAGGGTTCCAGTTACGATGGTTCCAGTAATAGTCTGATTGTATATTCGTCTCGCTCTTCCCTTGAGTGTTGAGCGTCGGCCATGGCAGCACCATTCGAATCAGACCGTGATGACCTATTTGGGCCACTGCTTAACTCGCGTCAAAAGGGTCCTTACGAAAAGTTATCATATCATGCATCGATTCACCCCCAGGTTGCACAGAACCAGCCAGTGTATCTGCCTTTTCATTTCCCAGCACACGGACATAACTGTAAAGAAAATAACCACAGAAAGCTAAAATCTCGGCACCACTGAAGCGGTATTTGTCACTCTTCACAGGGCATAACAGCCCTCACCTTTCTCGACATTTTCTGTGAGTCTGTTAGAGTTACGACATGTGTGTACAGCAAATCTTCATTGTGGAGACGGCACGTGCGGTTTTTAGTGAGTTCAAGGAATTTCGGCAGCCAGTTACAGAAGCAACAGACCAGCGCCGTCTCTAATTAGAGAAGGCCGTGCAACAGACACTCCAGCTAGAATTACAGCAATTTACAGTTCTGAAAAGGAGTACTATTGTTAGGAAACACAATAAAGTGCTGTTTCTGATTTTATGTATTAATTAGGCATAGGTGGAAGAGAAGAAGAAGAAGAAGAAGAAGAAGAAGAAGAAGAAGAAGAAGAAGAAGAAGAAGAAGAAGAAGAAGAAGAAGAAGAAGAAGAAGAAGAAGAAGAAGAAGAAGAAGAAGAAGAAGAAGAATTAGGCATAGTTTTGAAATAGGGTAGGTAAAACTAACGGACCCTTTTCCACACCTTTTATGCGTCTTGGGAATATAGGGCTAGTTTTTCTGTTTTTATTGACCAATGGGCACTTAGTGAGTGATATGGTCAACACCACGACGGCCGCCTTTACTGCCAAAAGTTGCACCTGGTACCCACTCAAGGCTGGGTCAACCTGGGAGCAAAGGTAATTTTTACGTTGAAATAGAGTAAATGACCCGAAATAGGGTTGTCGACAATTATGAGTGGATCGTTATCACAAATGTGGTCGCTTTTTACATTTCTCGTTGGTTTTTTTTTTTGCATATAAATTGAATAGGTATGGATAGGGAGTGTACCCTTGCCTCAGTCCCCTTTGCACCGTCAGCCAGTTAGATGTCTCTTCAGTTGCTTTGATATCATCATCATCAGGTGCCTTGCCGACTGACGTGGACGATCATGCCTCTCCATAATCTGCGATCTCCTGCAGCATGTATCAGTTCGTGTGCCGACACACCTTCATGTCATGCAGCAAGACTGTCAAGCATCTTCTCTCGTTGTCTTCCTCTATCCCTCCTTCCACAGATCTTTCTAGTGGTCACAACATGTTCTATTTTCCCTCTTCTCATAACATGACCGAACAATGATGACTGTCTCCTTCTGAGATATACATTTACTGATTAAAAAAAAAAATCTTCTTAGTTTATACAAAACCGATCTTCCTCAAAATAAATTATTCAGTTGCAGGTTTATGTTGTATATACATTGATTCAGAATGTTTCTGCTTTGCCATCTTTGCAGCCACTCATAGTTATTATTGTCCCCATCCTTCACCTGCGTGCCAGATGCATAGTTGTATCGTTATGAGAGGCATTGACCTGACGATTTTCCTGCCTTCTCAGGCTTTGTGTGCGAGCGCACATCCCCTTAATCTAGATTCCTTTAGAGTTCACAAATGTAGTTGAACCATTCAGCCAAGACTGTTGCACGGGGTCACAAGAAATTCTGTTTACTTAGCCTGCTCTCATTGCCAGCATCCTTCAGTAATCAATACTTCATATTTTTGTATACACGTCCCCGTTGCAGTGAACTGTCATGACAGATTGCGCGAACAAAATTATTATGTCGCTCAAGTAGTTTTGTAATATTTTTTATCCTGGGTTTAATCATTAATTATTTATGTTATTTTTAACAGAGAAAAAAAAAAAAGGAATCTTGAACTAGTAAAACAATGGTGGAGGTATATGGGCATTGAAACAAATGGATAAATCTTCCACAAATGAAGAATTCACCCTTGCATAAGTATAACAATTTATTATATTTTGTGAAAATTTTAAGAAAACAATTTCGCAAGGTTCTTTTTCATTAAAAGAAATGTTATTAAACGCGATCGAAATCGAATAACGAACACGCCCTACATTCCCACAATTCCAACTGTTGGACACTGCCGCCATGTTAGTGGCTACTGGCATTTATGGAACCAGAAAAGTTATTGAAACGAACAAAACTGTGTACGTAGAGCGGAATTGTACTGCAGATAAATAACAACTCACTATATTTTAGCTGTAACAAGCAGATGTTAATAGTTTCAACGCATTGATAGATCATATATTTTTTTAGGTGTGTAAAAATGTAACATCGAGAAAACTGATACACTGGGTCAGTGGTATTGAGTATTGTGTGGTTGAAGTAGCCAGCCAAGGAAGTGTTTCACTGCACTGCATGATTCATTCATTCATCTCGGATCCCGTTCATCTCACCTCTTTCTTCTGGACCAGGCTGTATGTACTCTTAAGATGCCTTGGCAAATTATATATTTAACCGCTTAGTGTTAATAGTTAGTAATACAGTAATTTAACAGTGATTTGCCACTTTCAGAGTCAACTATTCATTACTCTTACTTACTTACTACTAAAATTGAAAATGTTGCAACGCCAACACTTGGTCCATTCATCAGTTGGGATTTTTATTTTACTTATGATCCGACTGATCCAGATCTGATCGGAGGTGATCCGCGTGTGTACCTGTGCACTGTTATTATAATATAATAGTATTACTATTACTGTTGTTAGTTATGAATGATTGCATACATTCATACAACTTTTAGTTTTAGTATAGTAGTCCTACAGGTTAGTGCAATCAAAATACTCAGTTGATGAAAGACTTAGACTACTAATTTGAATTAACTGATGGAGTTTATCATATGCATATGCATATGGAGATTGAAAAAAATCAATAAATCAATAGTTATTGTAACTTATAATAATGTAACTATAACTAAAAATGAAGAAAGTTTAGAAAGATTATTGCTTACTTTATTTAACTTCAGACTACTTACCATGTTTAGTAAAGCAAATACAGTCAGTATTGAATTGCATTGTAGTAAGTTCGTAGTGTTAGTGTTACTAGTAATATAGTAATGTTTCCACATTGGTTTTGGTTTCTTCTTCTTTTGTAGGATAGGAACAGAATAAAGAACATTAGCTCAAATAGTTAATCAGCGTGAGTGTGAATGCTAGAATTACTAGAAATAATCCAGACAGTTCACCAGAGTTGTTCAAGTCATCTGTCATTCTGTGAACTGGGACCAGCTATGCTACATTCCAATGTGCTTTGATACAAACACAGAGTCCAGGAAAGACTAAAGATGTCAGCAGAAGAAAGACTTAAACGACTTGAAGAAGTTTTCCTCAGTGGAGCAGCCAAAAGTAATGGCCTGGCTTTGAGTGTAGAAACTCTTCTAGATGCTTTGCTTGTCTTATATGATGAGTGTAACAGTGCAACATTACGAAGGGAGAAAATATCTGCGAGTTTGTTGAATCGGGTAAGTCTGTTGTTCTATGTGTTATATTCATTCATATATTCTTCTTCTTAGCATTCACCATCTGTAAACTCTAGCAGAAGGTTCTGGTTGCTCGTCCACTTGTGGACTGGTCAACCTTTTTCTGTTTCTTCACTTCTTGTAATGCTTCAGCTGTATAAGGTTCTGTTTCTTGATCTTTTGGCTGCCTCACAGTCCATAGACATGTTGTGCTGTTGTAGATTTTCTCTGTTATCTGTCCGTTTTTTCTTGGTCTACCTCTTGATGTACATCCCTTACCTCTTTTGATGCATGAATTTAATGGTTTGGCATCTCTCAAAGGATATAGACAATTTTATTTGCTGTCTTTGATACAATTTAGAATTGATTCTGTGCCTACTTTTTCTCTTATGACTTCTTTCCCCATTTTGTATCTCCTGCGGTCTTAGAAATTATATTTTCATGGTTACTAATTTCTTTTCTGGTTTGTTGTCTCTGGCTATGTCTGGCACTGATAGCATGGAGTTGGAATGAATATGCTCTGTATGAGATGTTTCTTGGTATTGATTAGGATTGTGTTGTGCTGTGGAGGAGGGGGATGGGCTGCTGTCCCAATACTTCTTTTGCTTTACTGCATTGAGACTTAATTTCTTCATTTTGTTTGCAGTCTTCAGTGACTGTTTTTCCTAGACATAATTATGTTCAAATACCTATAATCGAACCCTAGTTAACTGAAGCTGAACTAGGATATAAGAAAAACATGGGATGCACAGATGCCGTCTTTGCTCTCAGCCAACTTTTAAGAGAAATCAATTGAATTTAATGAAACACTTTAGCCTTTGTTGATCAAGAAAAAGCATTTGACAGGGTAGATAAGAACAAACTATGGGGAATCTTGAAAATTTACGGTGTGAACACGCATTTAAAAAGCATAAGTAAAAGCTTGTATAACTACAGTGAATGTACTGTTAGAAAAAGCGCAGGATATTCAGAACTGTTCACAAGAAAATCTGGAAAAGATGTAAAACCTAACAAGAAAGTATATCAGCAAGCTTTACAATATAACAAACACAAACAAAATGTGAATGTTGCAGCTATGGAGCCTTCATCAGCAAATCAAACAATACCACACAAATACACAAAATCGCTTAGCTTAGTATCTTGAAGCAGTGTCTTGCGAGTAGACCAACCAACCAAACAAGGTCTATATTACACCAGGGAGATGAAGATCCGAAGCTAAACAGTTTCATCAAAGAACTACTGTTTGCGGATGACCAAGAACTAACTGCTACTTCAGAAACTGATCTGCAAGACCATATAAATTATTTAAACTAAATTTGCAAAGAGCAAAACATGAAAGTTAACACCAATAAAACAGTGGTCATGATCATAGCCAGAATAGACAAAAATAAGATATTCAGCTTACAGAACACCCTCTCAAACAAACCAAGAACTTTGAATACTTAGGAAGCATATATCTTAACTGGCAAAACAAGATGAGATTCATGTCATATGTATCAAAGCAAACCAACTCATTGGGCAGATGACACTAACACTGAGTAACAAACATGTATCAATAGAAACCAAAAGAGCACTCTGTCACACACTCGTGTTTGCGACCTAGTTTATCGATGCCAGACGTGGACAATGACAGAACAAAGAAGAAAATTTTTTGCTGAAATGAGATTCCTGCGAAGGGCTCTCAATATAACAGTAAGAGATAAGATGAAATGATGAAATCCGAAGGAAAATGGAAGTAGCAGCAGCTGTTTATTTCATTAGAAAACGGGTGCAATGGTTTGGCCATACAGCATGGATGTCAGCAGACAGTATACCACAGTAAGTCATTATGTACGGACCAGCGGGAAGCAAAGAGGCTGGTCATACAAGCAATGTACAGAGGGAATTACAGAATCCCTGGAAATCCCTATTTACGCACTCAAATAAGCTCTTTCCCAAAATTTATGTCACCTTGACTCCGCAAGGTACAAGAGAACTGAGATGAGATGCTTTCTACTGCTGTATTCAAGTTCTGCTCCTTTCTTCCTATTGACATTACTTTTGTCTATCCCCGTTGTTTCTCACATTATTTGCTAAACATTCTTGATACATGGATGAGAGAGTTGCAGTTTCATGGCTGTATCAGCCACCAAGGTCTGGTCACCGGCAAGCAGATGCTCATTGATGTTACTAATATTGTCATTCCTAGGTTTGGCATTGAATTATATGCTGAGCAGCAGTTGAATGGAAAGGGAAGGACTTTGTCATTTGCTGATGACATATTTATTTATCGACCAGGGCGTGATAGACAGGAGATCGCCAGCACAATGCACCAGGAACTCAATCAAATTGCCGCCTGGTGTGATGGTTCCAATGCCTATGTCAGTCTTTCGAAGGCATCATTATCATGGTTCTCTTAGAACAATCACATTGTCAAGTTGGACTTACCAGAAGTGAAAATGTGTTGATCAGAACCAACGTTATGACGTTTCTCAGGGTGAGGTTTGATCGCAGCTTGTCATTCAGGAAACATGATGACCATGTGATAACATAAGCACGCAAAGGTCTATCTGCAATGAGGATTATGGCTGCTTCCAGTATCGAGCAAAGACTACTAATACTTCTCTTCTACGGTCTGGTCCTTTCCCCCATTGAATGCGCTCTAGCCAACCTTACTGTCAGTGCTACCCAGATTAAACGACTTGGAAAGGTGCAAAATGAAGCCATGCGCATTATTTTGGGATGTACAAGAGACACATCCTGTGGAGAAATGAGGTATCTACTTGACTTTCCAAAGGATCAGGATCTGGAGAGCTCTGGCATACCTTAAAATATGTGCTGATAAGAAACACTCACTGCATCAAGCTCTTTTTAAGTGAAAAGGGCGACAGGCTGAAGAGGGGGAAATCGTGGCTAGGTCGGGCAGATGTTATTAGGCAAATATGCAGCTTAACCGACATCACCCCTGGTACAGAGTGGATACCTGTGTCTCATGCGTTAATTTGTACATTTTCCTGTATTGCCACACTCAGCAGGCGATGTAGAAAAGAGAATCCTGTTGGTGTTAAATGCAGAGGTCAACGCTATCATTGGTGACAATTCAGATGAAGCAGATTGCACTAATCTACACAGACGGATTCGTTATATGCCAAAAAAGAAGTGCATGGGCATTCACAACACGCTCGGTGGGCAAAACAGTCAAAGAAGCCAACGGCGCCTTCTCCCTGACAACCAGCAGCATGACGATGGAGGTGATGGCAGTGACGCGAGCATTTGCCTGGCTCGAAACATAAAACTACACCTGCGTATGTATGTATACTCAGTGATTCACTAAGTATGATCCGGAGAGTTTATGCAGGTTCGGTGCAAAGATAATTGCTTGAATAATTACAGAAGTCCACTATGCGTGGAGTCATCTTTATTTTTGTTCCAGGAAACGCAGGCGTTGATGGAAACGAAAGAGCTGATATGTTGGCTGTATCCGCTGTCACTACCGACGGTCAGCCTATGGATCATGCTGAAATTATTAATGCCCCCAAAGAAATGGGAATGATAGAGGACTTTGAGGGCAGTGAATCCACATCACTTGCCAGAATTGCAGACTTGGGAATCAAGATCGGCATAGCAAAAAACGAGACCCACACCAAACACGCCAGAAGACTTGTTAATCAACATAGAACTGGTACTATTAACCATCGGACGTTAGGGTTCATACTGAGGGGAGGATCTGAGCAGCTATGGACATGTCTGGAGTGCAGTGATGATAACTTAACTAACTGATAACTCCAGTTTGATGTTACTAATTACCCTGCCTTCATGACAGTCCAAGAATTTTTATTAAAAAAAAAAATGTAACCTCTTTCACTGAAATAGTGATAGGTTATCCTCCAGTTTTAGTTGAAATTGAACTAAAAGTATTTTGCATTGTATAATCTTATAATGCTTATTATATTTGCATATTGAACAAAAATGTTGACTTAGCAAGAAAAAAAAATAATGCATAATCAACATACTTAGTGAATTGACTTTGCAGTATCAAAATCATAGCTTTATCAAAAGCCACGAATATCATTTGAAGACATTACTGTTACTAACAAAGAACATTTCACTGTTTCTTTTTTTTTTTAGTTCGTAGAGTTTCGACTTTTGTGAAACAACAGAGACTGCAGCGAGATGATTTTGAAACACTAAGGTCATAGGACGTGGAGCTTTTGGAGAGGTAAGCTGAGTTTTTTAAACCTTTTATGCATGTGTATTTTTTGACCAACCTGTCTTTCTTTTGATATGTTTGTTTTACTGTTTAAAGGATGAAAATCTTTGGTGAAGAACTGTTCTCTGGTTTTGAGTTTCCAATGTGGCTAATGAAAGTAGATCTCTATATACAACAATAAGAAGGAGACAAACACTATTCTTTGGCCACATAATGAGAAGAGAGGCATTGGAAAACATTGTGGAAAGAGGGGTATACGCAGACCGAGAGAGATAATGCTGGATGGGCTGAAACGATGGCATGGAGGGATATCATCAAGAGAGCTGTTCCAGGTAACTAGGAATCGTGATCTGGGTAGATGCATGAGTGTCTACAATAGTTGGCAGGGCACATGATGATGATGATTGTGGCTGAGTGTAATCTCAATTTTTGCCACTTATTTTCTAACCTTCGACTATAACAATGTTGATAAAAAAAGTAAACCCAGGATAAAAGGAGACAGTTTTGTTTAAACCTGCCACCAATGGAGACCACAGTTGTGAAGCTGCTTGACGCTCGCCTGTCAGCTTGAAGGTCTAGGGTTCAAATCCACATCGTTGCAGATTGTTTCTTCAGAATTGAGTTTGGCTCCCAGGTTTACCCAGTCTAAAATGTGTACCAGGGATCCTAAGAAATAAATGTGGGCTGCATGATATTTACCCATTACCCATCGAGTGCTGATCAATAAAACTACAGGCACTATATAGAAGTCATCATGTAGCAGGTCCTTTGCAGAACGTCGCTCTCATCACAGTCTGCCTGTAAGAAACTCGGTCTCTTGCCAGTTCCCCCGCCCTCATGAACTTTCACACTCAAGGAGTCACTTATATCCTGTGCCCATCTTCGTGTCGGTCGGCCTCTGCCCCTCCTTCCTGGTACCATGCCTTCTGCTATAATTTTTTCCAATCCGTCGTGGCGCTTAATATGACCAAAATATTTCAGCTTTCGAGAAAGGATGCTGTTTATTAGCCAATCTTCCTTGATGTTCAGATCTTTTAAGATGTCAATATTTCTCCTCTTCTTTGTCCAAGATATTCTGAGAATCTTTCTACAGCATTTCAGCTCAAAAGCCCCTATTCTCTTTCTTAAGGACTGAGAGATAGTCCACGACTCACATCCGTATGTAGCCACAGGGAAGATGCATGCTCTCAAAATTCTAATTTTTTTATCTCCTTGCTGATGCTTAACCATAGACTTTTAAGGCCGTTCTCTTCCCCAGTTCGCGTTCTATATAGAAGTATATTTCAATAAACATATAGCACTATATGTCCAATGTGCCAAAGGCATGAAGCGGTCTTTTTCTTTTATCTGACATCAGGACAGGATTGTCAGTCACAAACACACCTGGAAACATTGGTTCTCAAATACTGGCCTTCTGTTCTTTAACCCTGTTGACCAAAGAAGGCTAAATCTAGTCACTTCCAGCTGCAACACAACCCCGTAAATGCTATCTCGCCATTTCTGCAGTGACCTGTTCTCTAAAAGCATTTGGTTTAATCTTCACTCTGTTCTTGTTTATTTATGATTACTCCTTTATATGGGAATCCATTTACTTTGATGCTTCACTCTGTTCTTGTTTATGATTAAATGTATATGTGTGTATATATATATATATATATATATATATATATATATATATATATATATATATATATATATATATATATATATATATATATATATATATATATATATATGTGTGTGTATATATATATATATATATATATATATACATACATATATGTGTGTGTATATATATATATATATATATATATATATATATATATATATATATATATATATATATAAACATATATATAAATATATGTGTGGGTGGGTGTGTTGTGTGTGTGAAAAATAATAGAATAATACATGTTGAAAAAAAATTTATTATTTGTAAAATAGTTGTTTTTTAAGGATTTTTTGGGAAATTCCCAGGGAGTCTATGACCCATTTTTTCTTAGCATTTTTGGGGCGCAAAGGTTAGATGTTAAAAGATTTTGTGTGTGGTTATCTCACCAGTGTAGAGCTGGTTTATTAATTTTAGTTTACTAAAGGGCCATAATGTCGAAAATGGGGATCGTCACCGGCCAGAGGCTTCAGTCCTAGCGTAAAAAGATTATCAGTATGTTACAATCGGCAGTGGTATGCGCGCCACTAGATGTGGCCCGGGGGCTGCCAGTTGAATAGCTCTGGTGTAGAGGATGCCATTAGTATTGTCCCTGAGTGTCCAGAAAAGTGGTATTCAGATAATGCTAAGAATAATTCCTCTTAGCATTTTGTACTGGTACACATTTCCAGCCATAATCAGACATTTTGTTGGGGGGCCCCATTGTAAATAGTTTTTTTTTAAAGCTACAATTTCTAGTTTAGTGCAACATTTGTAGGCATGAGTGTACATATTGCACATATGTTTTGCTCAGCAAACACATATTGGTGGCCCAGTGAACACATTTTTGTTTGCACACACATATTTTATCTCAGTGTATATATTTTAGCCTTCAGTGTGCACATTTGTTTCCATTAGCATACACAACCGTGGCTCAGCACACAAGGAGACTATAAAAATGAAATATATGCAGTGGTCACATTTAGACTTGTTCCTAACTTTGATGGTGGTAGCCAAACAAGAATAAAAAGACTAGGATGGTAACCAGTCATACAATTATCATATAGTTCATTGATGGGCAAAAGTTTAGATGATTTATCCGTCTGATGAGAATGCCTTGGTACTAGTGATCACACTGAAGAAATATAAAGAACACAGATCAAGCGGAAGTCCACACACATTATGGAATGCCAGCATCAATAACAGCCTTAAAGAAATGAAGATTAAAGAATAAATTAAAGCATACAGAAGATCCTTATATCCCCTCCCCACACACACTTCTGTGATTTATGATGAGGAAGAGGAAGCTCACAAAATACCATTTTCTCCCCATGTGGGTTCCAGGGCCAACCCAAAAGCATGTCACAAGAGTCAACTAATTGGAGGTTCCCTCGAAGTCAGACACATCTGCCTGATTTGCATTCGTAACACTTCACAGTTTAGAGGGATAATGTTTCACTTTACTGAGGTTTCATTTTGGTGCGTTTGTTTGCTGGTCTTTGCTGTTGTTAATTTTAATAAATTCTATTTAACTAATTTTCCAGGTGGCCAAGGAAAAATCGCTGATAATTGTAATGAAGATACTCAACAAATGGGAAATGTTGAAAAGACTGAATTGGAGTAGTATTTCAGCCCTCGTAAAAGTCAGTCCATTCCAGGGTTGTTTATTTTGTCACTTCTACTTAAATCCTTGTAATTTTGCATTGTTAGATTCTTCTTCTTCTGCATTTTTAACCCCCAATGGAGCATAGGCTAGTAGTTTTATCTTGTTTTTCTTGTTGACTTTTCCATGGTTGGTTGGTTTTTGTGGCTATTGCTTTTACAGCATGAGGTAGCCAACCTCAAACCAAACCTTACTAGGTTCACTTTACTGAGGTTTCATTTTGGTGCGTTGGTTTGCTGGTCTTTGCTGTTGTTAATTTTAATAAATTCTATTTAACTAATTTTCCAGGTGGCTGTAGTCAAGGAAAAATCGACTGATAATGTGTATGCAATGAAGATACTCAACAAATGGGAAATGTTGAAAAGAGCAGAGGAAGTTGTATTTATTTAGTCGCCGTGGTGGGGGTCTGATGTTCTATTTTGGCCGCCCCTGGATTTATATCTTTACAGTGTGTTTTGGCGACGATCAGTATTGTAATTCCCCGAGATTCGTCTCTGCAAAAGATCTTCTTCTTCTTCTCTTTCTCTCTATCTTTCCTTTTACTCTCTACTGGTTGTAAAGTTTGCAGAGTACACCATTTCCATTTTGATGTGTTTGTTTTTTTAGCGGCCTTTCACTTAGTTTTATGATCCTTGTAATTTTGCATTGTTAGTCCAACAGCTCCCCTTCTTCTTCTACTGCATTTGTAAAGTGTCAATGAGCATATTCCTAGTTGTTTTATTTTGTCACTCTACCCCTCCTTGTTGACTTTTCCATTGTTGTTAGTTTTTGCTCTCAGGGCTATTTGCTTTTTAGCACAGGGGCCAGTAGGGTGTTAGACACTGTGGTTTTTCTGGCTGGCCCCATTCACATTGGGAGAGGTAGTGGCCAACCCCATTCTAACCAAAGCATAGGCTTAGTTGTTTTATCTTCCCATCGTTTTCTTGTTGACTTGTCCACCCCCTCTCTCTCTCTCTCTCTCTTGCTTTATGTCTTTGTTGGTTGCCTTTTTTCTCTATTTTTTGTCTGGCCTCTATTGCTGTCCCCTTTGTCTCTCTCTCTCCTTTATTTTACTGCTTCTCACCCTGCTGTCTCCCTTCTTTCAACTCTTTGTCATATTTTCCTCCTTCCCATATCTCTGTTTAGTTTCCCTTTTTCCTTCTCTTTTCATCTGCCATCTCTGTATCTTGCATTCCCTCTTTCTGTATTTGTCTCCCTCTCTGTCTTTTTGCTGTCCCTTCCCCACTTTTCCTCATCAATCTCCCTCCCTCCCCTTCATTTTTTTCCCCTTCCCCCAGACTTCTTTTCCTTCTTTTCTCTACCTTCATCTGTCCATCTTTACACTGTCTCTCCCAGCCTACCTCAGCATGTGTCTTCCTCTCTCTTCATGACTCTCTTCTCTTACCCTAACCCTCTCAGGTACCAGGTCCAGAACAGACAGGACTTCAGTTTGCTGCCCCTGTACAACCAAGCCCTAAAAAAAAATTTCAAACACTATATCAAGCTCAGGGGCCGACCAACACGAAGATGGGCACAGGATATAGGTGACTCCTTGAGTATTACATGAGGCGGGAGAGCTGGTGAGAGACCAGGGTTTTTTTTGTCAGGACAAAGGAAATGCTACATGATGATGATATCTGTGCTGGTATACCAACACATGTGGCACAAATAAAGTACCTTGTGTGCTCAGTACACCCTTGAACAAGGCAAAAATCTTGTTTCAGTATTACACCGAGACAACCTTGAAAAAAACTAAGGAGACCTTGAAAAAGACCTTGAAAAGCCTTGAAATTGATTGGTAAATTTGGCTATGAACCCTGTTTAATGTTTTCTTTGGTCTGTCCCTTTTTCTATTCTTTAGTATTGTACCCTCCAATTTCTCTTTAATGTCTCTTCAAGTCCTAAAGAATGACCAAGCCATGTGAGTTTTCACTGTTTGATTACTTTAAAAAGTTCTTTTTGCTGTCTTATGTTTTTATGAATTTGTTAATATATGTTTTTAAAAAACATCCAGCAGATTTTTGTCATGTTTTGATAATACCAAGATAAAAGAAAATTGCCTCTGTACGACATTTGGTATTTTTTATTTCCAACTATTTTAATGATTCTTGTTGTATCTAAGGGTTTTTAGATAATGCTATGAACATGGTTTTATTTCCTCTTGTTATTTAATCTTTCGAGGGGTGTAATTTCCAATGAAGTCGGAACCTATAACTCAACAGTAGAGGTGTTCAACTTTACTGTACAGTTATATGCTTTCTCTAGACAAATTTAATTCATTTTATACAGTAGATTTGATAAGCTGACGTGCTTAGATTCATGTTGTAGCAGAATATGGATGTACAGCAAAATGAATGAAAAAGTCTTTCAAGAAAAATATGAAAAACAAAATTGATTAGAGAAATTAGGGCGTAGACAGTCAAGATGTGTTTTTAAAGGATGTTATTGAAAGAAATCGGTTTGAAAACTTAGTGATGGGAAAAGAACAGTAGGAAGACACCATAGTTCTTCTTCTTCTTCGCGTTCACCAGCTGTAAACTCTGGTGTAAAGTTCTGGTTGTTCGTCCACTTCTGGACTGCAGTCCTGTTCCAGAACCTGAGTGTTGCGTGTGCATCAGTTTTACAGATCTGATTCAATTGAATGCAGACTGCTGGTTCCTTGCCTCTCAGGCAGATGCACTCCGACTTCAAAGGAAGCTCCCCAGTTAGTCGACTCTTACGACATGCTTTTGGGGAGGCAGTGGGTCTATTCTTGTTTTCCCCACAATAGGGCCCCGGAACCCACACGGGGGACACCATAGTTGAATCCCTGGTTGGCTTGGTCATACGGCACAATCCTGATCAAAGACTTGTGATTGTTTCTTATTCTTAGTATTCACCGGCTGTAAACTCTGGTGGAAAGTTCTGGTTGGTGTCCACTTCTGGACTAGTGTTCTATTGTGCTATAAACATGAGAATCACAACCCATGGTCATGGCGAGTGTGACTAGCAAGACCCATTTATGCGGTGAAAAGTCTTTCACATTTAGAGCATGGGATTTCAGAACCACTGTTGCCATAGCAGATATAATTAATCATCGTCATCATCAAGTGCCTTGCTGACTGGTGTGGGCGATCATGCCTCTCCTCAATCTGCCGATCGACAGCTGCATGTATCCTTTCATGTGTTGACACCCCTTCATACCATGACAAAAGGCTGTCAAGAATCTTCTCGCGCTGTCTTCTTCCGTCTCTCTTTCCAGATATAATTAATAGACTTGTATAATTCTGTACAGCATTTTGCATTTTCTTGATATTTATACATGTGCTTAATTATATGCAGCTGTTTGACAATGTTTTTTCTTTTCAGACTGCCTGTTTTAAAGAGGAGCGAGATGTTTTGGTGTTTGGTGATAGACGGTGGATCACAAATTTACATTATGCCTTCCAGGATGATAACTTTTTGGTAGGTCGTTATAGTTTATCCTCAGTGTCTGGGATGGAAATATTTCCTCTCATTACCCTGTGTGGGCTCCCTATTTAGGGGGGGGGGGGGGGGGGGTAGATAGGCTCACTGCCTATTAACAAGCATGTAGAAAAAGGCAACTAGTTAGAAGTTTGCTGAGGTGGGATGTGTTGGGCCTGAAGGCGCAGATATCACAACCTAGCTGAAAACCATAACACAATAAGCTCGCCACAATTTTAAGAGTGAATGTTGAGAGTTTTCATACAGTAATGGGCTTTCTATGTCATTTTTAACTGAGTTTTCTGGAGATGTCAATAATTTATAGGTTTTCTATAATTTATAGATTCTCTAATACGCCCACGTGCGCACATACACCCCGACATGCGCACACACTAACACCATCCTCCACTCCTCACATTAGAATCCATTGGAAGATTATTGGAACACACAGATTTGCTCTACCTTCTGTGTGAATAAGTTACTTGAGGTAAGAACCGACATCGCACTCAGTACATTCCTAAAAAAAAGTGCTCCGTGCTCATCTTCGGCAGCCAGTGCAGATAATAAGGCAGAGTCATAAAAAAAAAGAATATTGGATACATTTTCAGGCTATCCTCCGAACTTCGGGCGCTAAAGATGGCGGCCGCAAAATATCCTTTCGAGTCACAGTCACGTGACTTAATTTGCGGTTCTCCGGCGACAACTGCCACCGCCACGGGTCCCCCGCTTCCGCATCTCCAGAAGCTTTGCTCGTGAGTCCTAGCCATCTAGTTTAGCCCCAGTCCACGCCACGTGATCGGTGTGGGGGACTCGTGGCGGTAGTCGCCGGAGAACCGCAAATTAGGTCACGTGACTGTGGCTCGAAAGGATATTTTGCGGCCACCATCTTTAGTGCCCCAAGTTCGGGGATAGCCCATTTTCAAATTTATTTGTTGTAGGACATGTGGTATTGAATAGAACTGGCCACTTAAGTTACATTAAATTTTGAATAAGAGTAAATTTTTCTATTGATAATAATTGATGACTTTCCTATCATTTAGTACCTCGTAATGGATTACTACTGTGGAGGAGACCTGCTGACCTTGTTGAGCAAATTTGAAGATCGCTTGCCTGAAGATATGTGCAAGTTCTACATTGCTGAAATGGTTCTGGCAATCAGTTCATTACACGAGCTGTACTACGTACACAGAGACATTAAACCTGACAATGTACTGTTGGATAGGAGTGGGCACATCGTGCTGGCCGACTTTGGATCATGCTTGAAGTTGATGGAAAATGGAACAGTCCAGTCTTCAGTGGCAGTTGGAACTCCTGACTATATATCTCCAGAAATTTTAAGGGTAAGTTTTTGTTTTTCATAATTTGTAGGCTTTTAAATGTAACTCCTGAATTATAGTTTCTTCTTCCTTTTGAACGTCAAAACTACATAATTGCATTGTGCCTGTTTACAGCAAAGATGCAGTATTTGTGCATTTCATCCGACTTCATCAAGCTTTTGTTGACCGGGTTATCTTCCCGGGAATCATAGCGTTTATTATCAACACTGTTATTTCAGTGTGCATCTGAAAGTTTTTAAAACATGTGTCTAATGTCAAGGATAGCTTTAGTGGTACTGCGGCTAGATGCATATTTGCCGGCCAAGACCTTGGTTTCAGATCTACATTGAGTCTGATTAGGTTTAAAAAAGTGCGGCTCCCAGGTTGGCTAAGTCTAGACTTAGTCTTAGTAGAAGTTTCAACTTCACTTGCTCCGTCCATGTGCACGTGAAAATCAAATTAAATCTCCCCCACTTTCTGATTTTAAAAACTGGTGAACAATTAGTCCTGGAGCAATCCAGAAATATGCACACACAGTAAATGGTTATGGCAGTTGCTTGAGGTGCCAAAGCCAACATTTGCCACCAGAAACGCAGTCTGTCGTTGATGGAAGTAGTCAGGCACGATAAATTGGCTATACACAGGTAGAATTATCACATAAGGTATTTCACCAGCTCAAACCGAATACTGGCCATATTGAATACTACGACTCAACCACTGCACAAATGAAAGGCATTCTGCATGAAAAACAGCTCACAGGGCTGCACCAAGCACTAAACTCAGTAGCTCAGGCAGCGAAACCATAGATTACCATTCACATATGGAAACTGCATTAGCAAAGCGCTGTCAGAAGCAAAAATAACTTTGAAGCTGAACATTAAACCATACTTAGTCCTCCAGTTTGACCGGACGTCCAGTCTAAAATGTGAGCAGGGTTATGTCCTAGGAAATAAAGGCAGCCTGCCTCATGTTGACATCTTCACCTATTGAAAACCGATTGGTAATTAAAAGTATAAGTCTAGCATGATATGCCTAATGTGCTATTTGCATGACAGGAGTCCCTTACTTCCTTAATTATAATGTCAAGGTATGGTTGGGCACGATATGAGAAGAAATGAACTTGAATGAAAACTTAGTACTTACAAACTTGGCAACAAGTTTGTAAAGAAATAAATACCTGGATTACCTGTATCCCGTGATTGTGTGAAATGGTGAATCATGATGTTGAGAGTGCTGAATATTAATGTTAACTTTACAGAATTGAACAGTTTATCTACCATCAACTTTTATGTTCCAAACATCTCATCCCATCCCATGTTGGATACAGTTTTATCCAAAAAGGTAAGGATTCTTGGTTCAGTCAGCTACAACGATCAACTTGCATTACCGTCTTTATGCCAAGCTTTTGTATCTTTTATCTCCTGCAGCTCCTCGCCATTGTCTGCACCTGTCTCTAGTTCTCTGCTCCATGTGTGAGGGCTCTCTCTCTCTCTTGCTTTGTAGGTTCCAGTAAAAGGTCACTGTTTATACTATTGCGAAGTATTCTCAGTGTGTGCCATCTCGAGTGCCAGCATCTTGTTTTCACCCTTTGATTCACTGTTTAATTCTGTCCTCTAATTCTGCGTTAGTGATTCTGGCAAACCATTTTAGTCTTTTATTCTGCACAGGCACCAGTTAATGAATGTTAGATGATGACGGTAAGGATGACGATGGTGAGGAAGATGTGTTTGCAAACGTCTGGCTGTTTCTTGATTTGTTCCTAATAGGTTAATTTGTTCAAATGTTCCACAGGCTATGGAGGATGGCCATGGCCGTTATGGGCCTGAGTGTGATTGGTGGTCTCTTGGTGTCTGTATGTATGAGATGCTGTATGGGGAAACACCTTTCTATGCTGAATCTCTGGTTGAAACATATGGCAAGATCATGAATCATCAGGTAGGTGACTGTTAGTCTTGTAAACGTGGATTGTAAATATTTCACACACAAAAAAAAAGAGACTTAAATAAAGATCTTGAACGTCCTGGGTAGGATTCTGTATAGAGGTGGATTTTATAAGACATTGGTTGCTGTGAGGGTCCATTTTGGGGGAAACAGTATAGACCCCTGACCAGCATGTTGTAGGAGGCAACTAGTTAGAGTTGTTTCCTTCAGTCGGAGTGCATCTGCCTGAGAGGCAAGGAACCAACAGTCTTTATACAAATAAGCCAGATCCATAAAATGGATGTGCAAACAAAACTCAAGTTCTGGATCATGACGACCAAAGTGCAAGAGTGGATGAACAACCTGAACTTTCTGTCAGAGTCTATGGCCAGTGAACACCAAGAATAAGAAAAGATGTTGGCATTTTTGAAGATCAAAAGCATATTATCAGTATATCTTTGTGACCTCTGGTTTCTTTCTCATTTATATATTCAGGTTTTATAATTTACAGGTATACTGTAGGCAGGGTAATTTGTATTAAGAAGAAGAAAAGACTGCCAACTAATGGAGAATAGACCACAAGGCAGACTAAGAAACGGTGAGGAGATAATATACATGCAGACCTACAAACACTTCAAGTCAACGAGTTGGAAAGAAAGAAAGAGGGGCAGTCAGAATGATAAATTGAGGCGGGTGATATCTGTAGCTGTGAACCTGAAGGGCTAGGAATGCTGAAAAGGAAAGACTGACGACACTGTTTCCTCTAAACAGGTTAAATTTGGCAGTTAAAGCTAGACAATTTAAATGTCTAGACAGCATTTGCTTCTTGACAGTGACCTGTCATGGCCTAAGCCAGCGGTTTTCAACCTGTGGGTCGCGACCCTTTTACAAGGGTCGCCGAAGACCATAGCAAAACACATGTTCGTTGAAGTTGTGAAGCAGCAACGAAATAATTGTATGGTTGGGGGCTGCCACAACGTGAGGAACTGTTATAAAGGGTCTCGGCTTTAGGAAGATTGAGAGCCACTGGCCTAAGCAGTAGAACAAAAGAAGAAAAGTCAGTGTTAGATTGAGCAAGAGTTAAAAACTGTTTGGACTGCTGGACTGAAGCAGTTATCCTAACAGTTAAGACAGAAACGTTTCAAGTATTTATTATGTACACAATAAAGAAGTAAAATAATTGGAATGAACAGTATGAAAATAAAATCCAAGAGATATCACGCTTTCATAATTCTTATGCAGAATCAACACTCGTGGAAAGAAACTAATAACTCTGGCTATTGGCTATTTGATAAGACATTAATGATATTATAGTTTTACAATCAATCCTCTCTGTTTTCTGAAAATTTTATAGGGTTTTTGCCTGCACAATTATTTGTTGCACTCTTGTTTATTAACTCTTTCAGTACTGGCATGAAATAAATTTAATTCTTTCCTAACAAGTTCTAGTTTGAAGTAGGTATTAGTAAGTCTGAAGAAAATAAAATAACAGCACCATGGGTCACAAAGAGCTTTTTTTAGTGTTTCAGTTATACTGATTTAATGTAACAGTTGTAGGCTATAGAAGAGTTAAGAAAACTATACCGTCTTTGGACCAGCCAGTAAACATATGGTGTAATGCTGTGGACTGAAAGAGTTAAGCATGTTACATAAACATACACATGTGTATTCTTGAGCACATTAAAAATCCTTGGCAGTTGAAAATCGAAAAGTGTAGCCTAACGGAGCTGCGCGGACAAAATTTTGAGTTAAAAATCTACCCTGAGTATTTCAGGTTCTTCGCTGGTGCAGCGGAGTTCGTGCACTGCACTGAGATTCTTCAGACTCAGGCTTGAGTTAGAAGTAGAACAGAGCACTTATAGATTACACCTGTGTGTCATGATGTTGATCTGTTGAATAAATAATAAACATTTCTCCATCTTCTGTTGTCTCTCTTGCATAGTATTTTCTTACATGAAGCTTTTTCATGTAGCAATTGATGCCATTTGAAAAAAGCAACAACCGCATATTGTAATCGTTGTGGATTATGTTCTCTTTCCCTCTAGACAAGATTTGAATTTCCAGATGATGTGGATGATGTGTCCCCAGAAGCACAAGACCTGATTCGGAGACTGATATGTGTCCCGGGTGAGAGGTTTGGCAAAAATGGTTTAAAGGACTTTAAAAGCCATTCATGGTTCTCATCTATTGACTGGGACAACATTCGGGACAGTAAGTGTTCTTGATTGAAATTTAATTTTTGTGCTTTGTTTTATTACGAATTAAGTTTGATTATTAAGTGTTGATTTAAATTTAATTAGTTCTAAAAAAAAAAACATACCAGGCTGAGAGAGTGTGCAACAAAGGTGAGAATTCTGAAAGGTGCTGGAGATCCATTACAGCCAACTTTCATTGTGGTGACAGCACATTGATCATATATCGCATGTTTGAGTCTTAATAGGCTTCACTGGAGTTGAGAAAACTCATTCTTCCTTTTACAGCCATGCTGTTTGCCAGTATACTCCATGTGAGATACAGAGAGGTCTTGATTAGTTTTAACCCTACCAGACCTCGGGCCTGAACCTAACTGCCTCCTATACCTGAGCTCCTGGGCATTAACGCGAAAAAACCAACATATATATAAAAAATATTAGTTACATGCAAACGAGTGGCTAGAATAAGATGCCACTTGAAGACACTGCAGAAAATAGGTTAACCTTTTATCAAGCGTCAATATTCCACCTTTGTGTGAAACCACCCACGAGAATCAACCTTGTTTCACAAAGTGAACACTAGATGTTGCGGTTTGAGGGACACGCCTCCTTCTCCTACTATCAATCTATTTTTAGATTTATAATTTTCAAGATTCTCCTCATCATTCCACATCTCACTGACTGTGTCACTTCAAGTGTGAACATATTCTTCATGAAATTATGACTCCGCAGAATCTGAATAAACCAAAGTATTGATCACCCGTTGGATTGTGAAAAGCCTAGACCTACTTCACTTCACTTTCCTGTCGAAGTGCTTGGTTCATCAGCCGCTCGTTTTATTGTGAATTTTCAGAATTTTTTTACGTAAAACAACACAAATTTTATCCAAACAAATGTGGGTGGACATCTAGGAAGACTATCCATGAGATCTGATTAGGATTGGCTTGTTTTTTTTTAGTTTTTGACTCATTGTTTTTTCATAGTACGCAAATTCCCGACACTGAGGGACAGCGGCAGGTTAGGAAATTCCCGTAATAGCAGGCCAGGGTCTGGTAGTTAACTCCTGGGAATATCAGAGCCTCAGCATGCTATGCACTGCTTGACATTTGACATTGTTTTGCTTTATTATAATTGCAGTGGAACCACCATACCGACCTGAAGTTACAAGTTCAACAGACACATCCAATTTTGATGTTGAGGACACAGATAGCAGGCACACAGTATGTATTTGTCGTATTAAATAGCCTATCATGACTAGAATAACAGCTCATAAGTTGGTAAATTAGATGATCTAGCCACAAGTTTGTGCTAGCAGAGTTAGTCTGTAAGACTAAGTGTGAGAGGGGTCAAGGGTGCCTGTTAGATAGTAACCCTTTCACCCCAGAAAGCCTTGAGAAAAAAGGCGCAGAATGTTGGAAATTCCCCCTCCCACCCCCCAGAAAAAAAAAATCATTTGCAATAATGTTATAAAAGTCACTGAAGTTTAAATTTTTTTTTACTTGTACACATTTTAAAAACTGGTTAGATTTATGTGAAGAAAATTAATGAATATAACATGAATGTAGCAGAGAATTAAATAAGTATATTTACTTTGCGGGGGGGGGGGGGTGGATGGATTTATACAGTGACCCCAAGCTCTGGGCTGTAAGTGGCTAAACTGTGCTGTAGTGGCTAAAACAAAAGCATGTTTTTTTTCAACGCTTAACACACCCTCTTACTAAAAATTCTATTTTTAATAAATATAATCATATCTGACCCTTTTAAATACATTGGGCAAACAATAACAATCCCATTGTTAATGTATACAGGGACTGGCCAAAGCTTTAAAGCTGAAACATCGGCCTTACAGGATTTGTAATGGTTGGCCAAACCAAAATATCAGCCACCGGGGAAAAAGGGGTTGAAAGCACAAATGTTATTTATTACACATTAGAGGAAGTACATTCACATTCTTTGGTACCTCATGAGAAGGGTATGTCTTAATAGCAGGAAATTTGGACAGGACGAGAAGGAGAGGGAGACAGAGAGAGGTGTTTGCTTAGCCCCATGGCAAGGAGGAACAAGAAGCAAGCATGTGATAGACATAACCAATTCCCGACTGCATGGACTATTTAGATTGAGAAGCATTTTATAGGACAAATATTGCTTCCCTATTCCCCCAGCGGGTTCCGAGCTCCATTTTGAAGCAACAGTCTGCATACAAATAAGTCAGATCTGTAAAACAACTGGAAATTTCTCTCAGAAAGTTTACAGTCGGGGAAAGCTAAGAAGAAGAACTTATCCATATGTTGAGTGGCACAAATGTTGTGCTTAAAAGGAATACATGTTTTAGGGCACTAAAAATTATGTTCATGTTTAAATATTGCTCTGTTGTCTCCTTTCATTTTTTACGCATTCGTGTTGATGTCATCTAAACAGTTAACTATTGTTATTCTTCCTGCAGGACACAGTCCCACCGACTTCTCATGCTGCATTCAAAGGACATCACCTACCATTTGTTGGCTTCACCTTCACTAAAGATTGGTAAGTAATTGACACGGGGGAGGTGGGTGGGGGCATGCAAATAATTAATGGATAGGGAAACAGACAAAGTGTATTCTACTGAAAATAGACCAGATCTGTAAACTGATCAGAGAAGTTTTATATATAAATAAGTAATTTTAATAAAATATATATAAATAACAAAAATACTAGTAGGAGGTTATAATAAACAATATTCGTTATGTAGATGATACAGTATTAATAGCTGAAAATGCAGAAGATCTATAACAACTATTAGACATTTTGGTACTAGAGAGTGCACAAAATGGACTTTCCTTGAATGTCAAGAAAACAAACAATGGTTATTTCGAAGAAGAAGATAGCTCCAAAATGTGACTTAACAATAGCAGGGAAAGAGCTTAACCAAGTTAATAAATTCAAGTGTAAGGGACATTCATAACATCAGATGGTCGATCTGTGACAGAAATTAAGAGCAGAGTTGGTCAGGCAAAGGAAGTATTTCGGAAAATAAAAAGTATCTTATGTAATAAATCACTCTCATTAAACATCAGAAAATGAGTACTGAAATGTTAAATTGAGCCTGTTCTGTTGTATAGCAGTGAAACTTGAAATGTGAGCAAACAAATTAGAAGAGTTCGGAGGCAACTGAAATGTGGTTCTTGAGAAGAATGTTGCGAATACCTTGGACTGCCAGAATAACTAACAATGATTGCCTGGAAATGGCTAATGAAAGTTGAACATTATATACAACAAAGAAAAGGAGACAAGCAAAGTTTTTTGGTCATGTGATGAGAAAAGGAGCACAAAAATATTGTGATGACTGGAAAGATCACTGGTAGATAGAGAGGCAGACCAAGAGAAATGATGGTGGATCGCTTAAGACAGTGGCATGGAGGAATATCATCAGTGGAATTGATCCAGAACACCAAAGAGATCTGTGGAGATGCATGAATGCCTACCCCAGATGGCAAGGCACTTGTTGATGATGATGATGAAGTAAAAATCTAATTAGGAATAAGTAAAGACACATTTTATCTGTTGTCTCCACAGTGAAGGTTGCTGTCTTTGGGAATTTTATGTGGTGAACCCCCACTGTCCGAAATCTATGAGAGCATTTGAAAAAACCCAACTGTCAAAGAAAGGGAACCATAGTGCTCGGGGATCATGAAATTGTTAAACAAATTCACTAACCTCAAAGCCACAGAGCTATTTACAAGTAAAGACAGCTGGTATGTTATTTACCACATTGCCCATCAAATATCGATTGACCTGTAAATTTATGGGATGAATGTGCTGAGTATGCCTCGATTGGGGAAGCAGGTCCTTTATTTCTGCTTATCCATCTGTCTTTGGGATCTAGGGTAGTGCAGTGTCTAGATTCTTCTGTGCCGGTCCACAAGTCTTGGTTTTTTAATCCATATTGGCAGATTAAAACAAATGAATTAACAGGGCTTCTAGGTCCACCCAGCTTAAAATGGGTGCCAAGAAAATATCCTATAAAGTAAAGATGGCAGAATTTTATTTTTACTTCTTCTTGGCGTTCACCGTCTGTAAATTCAGGTGCAAAGTTCTAGTTGTTTGTCCACTTCTGGACTTGAGTTTTTCATGCAATTTTTTTTTTTTTTTTAAACAAATCTGGTTTATTTGTGTGTAGACTGTTGGCCCTGTGCCAGTCAGACACATGCACTGTGAAGGAAACACCTCTGATTGCTTGCTTTTTACAGTTTGGGGGGTGGGTGGGGAGAGGGGGCAGTGGGTCTGTTCTTCCCTCTCCTTCTCCTCTGTCCCTACATGGTGTCCCGGAACCCATACTGGGAGGCATTAAACTTGATTGTGCCTTCATCACCCATCAATTTCCAGTTGACATGTAAAAATGTGTATCTAACAATGCTATCGGCATGAAAATTTCCCTTTACTTGTGTTATGGTTCGTGCATTCTTTAGCGTATTCTAAGGTTTGCAGTGTATGGCACAGTGCTGAATCTCCAATTCAGATATTCAGGTGCATATAGCTGCATCATCTTCTGTTTGTTCTGAATTAAAACATGATGTCCTGTGTTTAATATTTCATTAAGAATTGATCAGCACTCAGAACATTCACATAAGCGCTCCGTCCCCATCTTCAGCAGCAAGTACAGAGTTCTGATTCTGGTGGTACCAGTAATAGTCTGATTGTATAGCTGTCTCCTTTCCCTTGAGTGTTGATCGTCGGCCATATCTTTTGGTCACTTCCTGCAGCACCATTCTCCTAGGATCGTGATGGTTTATCTGTGCCTTTGCACTGTTCACTTGCCCCCAAAAGGTCCCTTAAAACATCTATCTTGTCATGCATTAATTCACCACCAAGTTGTGCAGGACCAGCCTGTCTATAGTGTTCTGAAAATCTGTATTTGTAATTGAAAGTCTGATGTTTTCATTTTAAATATGTGTTTCATTACAACATCTGTCTTGTCATGTATTATTTCACTAAAAAGTTGTGCAGGACCAGCCAGTCTATTGTGTCCTGAAAACCTGTACTTGTAATTGAATATATGATTTTTTTCATTTCAAATATGTGTTTCATGCATTTGCAGCAAACTTTCCGACCTGAGCATATTGATGTCAGACAATGAAGTGGAAGGAAGCAAGCAGGGTGATGTACAGAACGAGATACTTGAACGTAAGATTAAAGGCTTGGAGAAGGAGAACAAAGAATTAAATCAGAGAATTCAAGGTATTGGAAACAGTTGTTGCTTTACAGTGGTACAGTTATGTACATTTAAAGTAGCATTGTTACTGAACAGTCGTCTTTACCCATATAGTAGGCCTGCAGGTTACCCCTGGCTGGTGTAGCTGTAGCTTAGGAGGTTGAACAGGGTATCTGGGATCTACCTTGTTGGTCTGCATCCAGACTGAGATTTGTAATCTCAGGAGGGTATGGTAAACCTTTAGGTCAGGGCTATTCAGATAAGTTTACTCAAGGGCCACAATATTGAAAAAGGGGATCACCACAGGCCAGAGACTCGAGCCCCAGCGTAGAAAGATCATTAATACAGTATAACTGGCAATGATCCACTTTCAGTATATTTATGGGCAGTATATTTACAGATGATGGAAGAATGGACAGAGAGATAGAAACAAGAATACAGAAAGCAAATGCTGTCACATACCAACTATCACCTCTGCTTAAACATCCAGATATAACCATGAAGACCAAAAGACAATTGATAAACACCATCTTCATTCCAACACTCTGCTACCAGTGCCAGACATGGACAATCAACAAGACCCATGAAAGAAAAATATAGAAGCCTGTGAAATGAAATGTCTAAGAAAAGCAGCGAATAAGACCAGACTAGACAGGATAAAGAACATAGACATTAGAAACACTGTCAAAACTACACTGCAGCTGTGAGAGGGGCCATGTTTAGACTACATAGAACATCAAAGAATGAAATGGTTTGGACATCTAACCAGGATGAAAAACGACCAAATAACATCACAAATTTTCAACCAAAGAAGCTCAGGATATAGGGCAAGAGGAAGACCAAGGAAACGGTGGATTGACGGGGTCTCCGAAACCTGCCAAAAGCATGGCCTCAGAACATCAGATGCTGCCCGCCTTGCTTATGACAGGAACTTGCATCTCCCCACAACGCTTAGCGGCATACGTGGAAGGAAAAAGTAAAGTAAGTAAGGCCACCGAGGGCCAAAACTGCCACCAGTTGAATAGCCCCCTAAAGGTAGTGTTCTGTAGGGCAGTGGTTCCCAAACTGGGTGCTGTGAGCGTCTGTAAGGGGTGCCGCGGCAGTAATTAAAAATTCATCCAGTTTCGTTCATCCCATTAAAGACAACTGAAAATTAAATTTTCACTCTTTTTTTTTTAAAGTATTCAGCTGCTGAAGGGTGGCTGTGCCGTGAATTGTTTTAAGCCTGACAAGGGTGCCACGGTGAAAAAAAAAGTTGGAGAACCCCTGCTGTAGGGGACAAACTGATCGATCAATTGTTACTGCACACTATCATTTTGAGATGTTTACATTTATAATATGATCGATGATTGTTACTGCCTTGCCCTATCATCCACCCCCTGCTGCTTTTGAGACCACCCTTTACAAATCTCATACCATATGTGCACAAGGCAAATCCCAGAATTTAGGAAGCGATGATGACTGTCTGTTTCCTGCCTTGCCCCCTCATCCACCCCCTGCTGCTTTCTGATGGTTAGACCACCCTGTGATTAGACAAATCTCATTTTGGATGGCATGTGCACAAGGCAAATCCCAGACACTTCTTTAGCTTGCTTCTTTGTAGGTATATTACAGGCACCTATTATGTGGCTGCTGTCAGAGTTTGCAGCCCGCACTCCTGTGTGTTGGGGTTGGATACAGATATGATGGCTGACCCTCCTTCCTTCCTTCCTTCCTTCCTTTGGCACTAGTGTAACCTGCACTACTGTACTAAGGATTAGATATTTTATATTATCAGTGTTTTCTTCTTTGTAGGTATATAGCACAGTTTTTTCAGTGGGCAGTACGGGGGCATGTTTGCAGAAGGGCTGTCAGGTTTCAGAGGCCTGGGCTCAGAATGTTGGCCCCACGTGCCACAGATGAAACAGGTATTTGCTTGTTCTCTTAACTTGATTCTTTACCTGTGGTTTCAGATTTCTTGATTACGATACGTGAGCTACAGAATGTGAAAAATGATGGGGGAGCCGTCTCTGGGTCTGATGAGAATCTGCTGCAGCAACAGAGAGAAGAGATTGAAGTTCTCCAGAAAGTGATATCTGGTTAGTTGTGCAGTGTTTAAACTTTTGGAAACCATTTCAGTCAGTGTACATAAGGTTTATTTGAAATCTTTTACATGTGGTGTTGGTTAAAAGCTTTGAAGCGTCTCTTGAACTCAAACCCTAAAGGAAAAAGCTCTGGACAAGATAAAATGCAGTTAATCTTGTGACCGTAGGATGCACATTGTGTTAATTTTAAATATTTAATTCTATATAATGTAGTCTTATTGTATGGAATTGAATCATGGACTGTTTGTTAGGGAATATTAACTTAAAAGCTTTAGCGGTTAATCTTGTGTCATGTCAGCGGTATAATAGGTCTAAGATTTTTATCCCACATGTGAGCATGTGTGTATGTATAACTGTGTATGCATCTGTGGTTGTGTGTCTGTGTGTGTATGTGTGCGTGTATCTGGGTGTGTTTGTGTGTGTCTAAGTGTGTTTGTGCATGAATGTGTGTGAGTCTGCGGGTTTTTGTGTGTGTCGCATGTGTGTTTCTGTGTGTGTGTGTGTGTTTGTCTCTACGCATATGTCTGTTATGTGTGTGTGTGTGTCTGCATTTGTTTATATGGGTGTGTTTGTGTGTGCATGTGTGTATCTCTGTGTATGTGTGTATGTATGTATATGTGGGGTATGTGTGGGTAGGTAGGTATATATGGGATAGATTGGAATGTGTTTATGTGTGTGAAGGTATGTGGGCGTGTAGATATGCGTGTTCAAGTGGGTGGGCATGTGCGTGGGTGTGTGTATGTCTGTGCGTGTCTGTGGTTTTATGTCTATGTGTGTGTGTATCTGTGTTTATGTCTGTGTGTGTGTATGTATGCATGTGTGTCTACGTGTGCATGTCTGCCTGTGCCTCTCTGTGTATACGTCTGTGTGTGTTTGTTTGTGTGTATCTGTGAATCTGCATGTAGGACTGTGTATATGTCTTTGTATGTGCCTGTGTGTGTCTGCGTGTCTGCTGTGTATCTGTATGTTTGTTTATGTGTGGGTATGTAGGTATGTATGTGGGTGAATGGGGGTGTGTTTATGTGTATGAAGGTATGTGGGTGTGTGTTTATGTGTATGAAGGCATGTGGGTGTGTTTAAGTGAGTAGGTATGTGTGTGTGCGTGCGCTAGTGTGTGCATGCATTTTACCTATGTTTTTGTGCTTTTTCTTTTTTTTTCTTTTTTGATATTCATAAAGACTTTTTTGGGGTTTATATTTTAACATTCTGTTTTAATGTGCTTTTAGACTCTCAGGATGAAGTGAGAAGTCTGGAACAAGAGTTGAAAAGAACCAACGAAGCTGTGTTTGATCTCAAACGGAAACTAAAACTTTCAGAAGATGAGAAAGCAGCGTTTGAGAAGGTTAGTCTAGATGTTTGTGTGGTGATGAGAAAGTTATCTAGTTACATAAGAGCAGGAATGAGAATGGTGATCTTTTTTTTTTTTTTTTAAAAACTAGTCAAATATTATCTCTTTCTCTGTAAGAATAGACCCATTGCTCCCCTTATAAGCATGTAGTAGGAGGCAGCTAATTAGGGGTGTTTACCTCAAAGTAAGAATGCATCTGCCTGAGAGGCAAGGAACCAACAGTTTGCATACACATTAGCCAGATCTGCAAAACTCGAGTTCTATATCAAGATCAAAGTCCAGTAGTGGACATACAACCACAATTTTCTGCCGGAGTTTACAGCTGGTGAACGCTAAGAAGAAGGGAAAAGGGGGTCACTACGTATTTGACATTACCATGTGTATGCAGTCATTCGATGCAGCCATCAGTCTCCTTGCTTGGGGTGTGGGGTTCATGCGTCTGTTTTAAATCTAATGCAGCATTATCTCTACACTGGACGACGACTTTGTAGATCTGGTACACTTTATTGGTAAACTTTTTGGTGGTTAACTGTGACCGACAGTTATTAGTCTGCCATATGTCATTTTATGCTGCTTTCACACTTGTATCATTGCCTACCTCTTTCTTGCCTACCTCTTGCTTGTCTACCATGATTATCATAAGTTTCTGGAATCCTTTTTTAATATAGAAGTATTGTTTATCTTAATTAATAAACTTTCAATGTGCTGCCATGTATATAGTGAAGGCTGTTTGTGTTAAATACATTTATTTGTGTAAGTTATGATATTCTTCTTTCTCCTTGATTGACAAGAAAATAACATTGGTTGTATTATGTTCATTTACATCAAAATAGGATGTTTATATTGTTTCAAATGACACATCCTGCTTTAGTTTGGCATTTATTAGTTTTGGATTTGTCTTCTGTCTTGGCTGCCGTCGGCGTCTGTGGCTTAGGCGTTGCGAACAAACTTCGTAATGTGGCGGGTGGGGTTTGATCCCAGCTGCGGACTGGTTACCAGATTTGTCTTGCGTTGGTTTCGACAGTAGTACCGAGAGCTGACTGTTCAGAAGCAGTGGCAAACTACTTATTGTAAAATTTGCCTATTAAAACCCAAGCAGCTAAAAAAAAAAATGCCTTTGGTTGGTTCTGCAATATCCGGTAAAGGATACCCAACTAACTAACTGTGATTGTCAATCCATTGGGTAACTGATGATAGTGGTAGGACAACATCAACAATAGCCGTATGAGACAGTTTATTACCAGGACAAGCGACAGAATGTGTTGAACGGCACAGTTTGCAGGAAGCTACTGTTGGGTCTTGACAGGTCTAGTATGTGACCTTGGACCTGCAGCTGTTTCTTCTGCAATAATCTTCTTTGCTGCATTTTCTATCTGTCATTAGTTGAGAGCCATTTAGGAATTGCAGTTCTGTTAGAATCTGTTAGCTCAGTAAAGTAAAGTGATTTGGAAAAACTTGTAATGAACATTATAAATGTTGCAAGACTTCAGAGTTGAGAGCAGGGATGAAACAATTGCGCCATGACATTAGATGATTACATACAAGATTCTGAGCTCTCTTCTGGTATAAGTAGCATTCTGGTATAAAGTAGCCAGTAGTTTTTAAAGTTGTGGTTTTTGTACCAACTTGAGTTTTCCTAGTTGGGTTTGTTCTGAATGCAGTCAGGTTAATTTAATGTATTTATTTGTGCTTGGATAATTGAGTTTTTCGTGCTTTTTTAGGCATATTTTTTTAACATGCCCGATTTTATTTCAGGAATTACAGGAAGAAAGAGAGAAATACAAGTCCCAATCAAGAGATCTCAAAGAGGCTGTTAACAAGCAGAAAGTAGTTATGGACCAATACACAGATGTTAATGACCAGTGAGTGTTCTTTGTCTTCTTCATTTTCTCCTCCCCTACCTCTTCGTCTTTACCCTTAAAGTGGGTGGTTGACAGGTTGTGTTGTGGTTTAGTTAGACCATTGGTTCTGAATTTGTGGGTTGTGACCCATTAGGGAGTTGAACAAACCTTTTACGGGGGTCGCCCAAGACCATCAGAAAACACATATTTACTGAAGTTATGAAGTAGCAGTGAAAATAATTGTATGGTTGGGGGTCACCACAACATGAGGAAATGCATTAAAGGGTCGCAGCATTAGGAAGCGTTCAGAGCCACTTGAGTGAGTCTTTTCGGCCCCAGCGCATTATATTTGAGCAAGCTTCTAATCTTTCGCCTTTTACAACATCATGCTTGTATGGGACAGTGTGTTTATCTCCCCTTACAAAAAAAATAATAAAAAAAAGCAATTGGTTCCCAGATCTCATACAAGTTGTCTTTAAAATAAGATTGATTGTTTTCTTATTTTTTAAAATTTTTATTATCCCATCATGCAGTTTTCAAAATATGTTTTGAAAAAGACACCTGCACTGTTTTAAAATCACCATGATCAAGTGCCTTTGCTGGGGGGATTCTCTTTATGAGTTCCATTGCAAGGACGTTCTAGTCATTTTGTAATCAGGTTTTCTCAGCGTGTGCCCTTTTCAACATTAGCATCTTTTCCTCATCTCCCGATTCACTGGAATTTGCTTAGTGCTGTCCCTCTTCTCTGTGTGGTTTCCTCGATTTCTTTTTTCAATAACCTATGCTAGTTGTTACAATATATTTCATTATTATACAGTGTCTCACACAACAGGCAGACTTTGTTATTAAAAGAAGCATATTTCCCTAGTTTCACACAAAATGTTTATTGCTTCATTTGTGTGGCTGTCCATAGATTTATGAAACAACAGTCCAAAGTCAGAGAGCTGACAAGAGAGCTCAGGAACAAGGAAGAAGAGATCAGCGATCAACAAAAAACATGTGAAACTTTTAAGCAAGACAAGAGAAAATTAGAGAGAACTATTAGTGAGGTATGTTGCTTTATTTGTGTTATTAAAATTAATTTCAGTTTTCTCTCTCTTCTGCCCTTTACCATCCAGTGCTGTGTAGTAAAATAAGTAAGTAGAGGGCCCTATTCCATGTCTTCAGGCTCACTGGGCATATAGGGCTTGACCTATATTTTATAGACCAATCGGCGCGTGATGGGCGATGTGGTCAGCATGATGCTGGTTGCCTTTACTTCCCGGGACTTTACCCGACACCCATTTAAGGCTGGGTCGACTTGATGCAGCGTAGGTCCCCCCAAACAACTCATGTCAAGACCCTTTTAGACTCGTTTGGGATTAGTTGGATTTAGCAGCTCATTTTCTATAGCATGAGGTACATAGGAACAGATCTTCATGTGGACACACACAAAAACACACTCACTACAGCTCTCCACTCATTTGGCATCAAGACAGAAACATGAGAGGCTGTTGCACAATACTGATGGCATTCAGTCCTAAGACATGACAGCTGAGGTTGCATTGAAAGAGAAACAGAGGCAGACCAGAAAACCAAGCGGTCACTTTCCATCTATTGTCCACACTGCTCAAGAACATTCCGTGCTTGATTTAGACCCATCAGCCATCTTCATACTCATTGATCATTATTAAGTTTGGATGCAAAGTGGTCTTCATCACTTGTGACGAATGAACAACCCAAAATCGTAGGTCACAGTATTAGTATTCTAAACTTCCTTCATGGCCAATGTAACTCGCCTACAAGTTTAAAAATGGCTTAATTCTTATTAATTTTTTCAAAACTAGAACAGTAGATTGCACAATTGATTGCCAGGCATACTTAGCTGTATCTCATCAGGTGCATACTACAGTAACCATTACATAAAATGAAGCAAATAAACAAATCTTTTACAACCGAACTACAAATTCGACCACTCTAAAAAGCAGCTGCCTGTTTTACCAAGCCAGGTGCAAATTCACTATCGTATCTTTCTGTTTACAATGTTCTGGGCTTTGATTATATTTTAAATAGTTGCTAGACATTGCCAGGCTTTTCATAGATTGGTATGTGTGTAATTTTTGCAGTCAAGAGATCGTCATTATATCCGGTTAATTCTGTATGGTTCGGTCTGTCTGCAGAAGAGCTAACCAATTGCTGAGATCTTGGCCACCTTGCCACAGAGCACTGTAGCAGCATTATTAAAACGTGATTTTTCCTACAAAAATACAGTAACATTTTACCTGCCTCCCTAGGATTACTATATCTGGCTTAAGTTGTATTAGGAAGAAAGACTTCTCTTTTCCTCTGTGAAAGGGATGCTGGTTCTGTTGTGTCTTTATGTAGAAAATCTGCAGCAGTTTTCACATTTTGACAGTCGCTTTTGATTTCAATGCGGCATTGTTGTTGGGTTGTATTTACAGTCTGATGCACGCTACAAATATTCTGCAAGAAGAAAAAAAGTTTCTTGTAATCCGTTATTACAATTGTTATGCATGTGCTTTCTGTTTTCGTTATCACACTTGAAATATATTCACTATTTTTGATATTACAAAAAAATAAACAGCATATGGTTTTTTCCCATAGCTGCACAATCAGATAGATGAAGCTCGTTCAGAATCAGTCAAAGAAAGTCGTCTTCGAGAGAGGGCAACAGCATATTCTAAGGAGTTAGAAGCCGAAATTGAACGCTTGAAGCGATCACAGCTCGGCCGTCAAGCATCTGTTGATCCAGCAGAGCTCAGTAAAGAAATTTCTCGGTAAGAAATAAAAATACTGCTTGTCTGTTTTTTCCCCTCCCAACCCTAGATATTTATAATGTGAATTAACAGGCAACAATGAATGTTAACTCATACAACACCATACAGGTTCAAGTTTTTTCACGGGGATTTACAAGCAATAGTGAATTTTAACTCATTCAATGCCACAGAGGTTCTTGAAGATAGATTTTATAGTGGGGATTTATAGGCAGAAGTGAATTTTAACTCATTCAGTGCCATAGAGGTTTTTGAAGATAGTTTTTATAGTATTGATTTACAGGCAACAATGAGTTTTACCCATTCAGTGCCATAGACTTATACTGGACTTGTATACCAGACATGATATATACGAAGCAAATTTTCCCATAAGAAATAAAAGGGGAATGATTAATTCGTTGACATGAAAAATGTCCTATTGTTTTTTAGCATATTATAAATTGTTGGAGTAGTATCAAATAAAACACTTGCTTAATACTAAAATACATAGATACAAAAGCAGTTAGATGAAATAAATGAAAATGACCCTCATTTTACCTTGTTGAGAAAGTCAAGTGCCCACTAAGATGGTGCTGAGAAGGCAAAAGATGATTGTTATTGTTTGAAAGGAGAATCCCCTTCCAGTAAAACTTCAGGAATCTGAAATTCCGGTTTTATTTTTCTCTTTTTGTTTTTGTTTTTTTGGGGTCTCTTTTTCCTACTTGGACCTGGTTGAAGCTCACAAATTCTGGCTTGTGAATTGTATTCCAAGCAAAGGTTATACACCAAGCCCTATTTTGTTTATCTAAACAGGATGTATACTAGGTTGGACTTTTTAGAAAGCAGATTTTTACAGAGGCACGACTGTTTATGCATACTGATATTATGTGAAGATGTAACAGATGTTATTGGCACCATTCAACATTTCTAGATGATAGTGAACAACTACAGCAGAAAGCCTACATTACCATGTCCTGTTGCTTATTTTCTGCATTTATCATGATTACTTTCCCAGTTCCCAGAAAATCTCATTCCAGTTCATATCACATAGTAAAGACTAAATGTCTACAGTTCCAAAATCTATCTCTTCTTCGTATAGTCCATGCCGTGGGAGACTGGTAGTCCTGTCTGTCCGCAGCCTTCTGTCTCATATACATTCTGTCATTTCTGACATGATCTCCCATGTCATGGTGTCAAACTGTCCAGCATACTCTTTCTTGGTCTCCCTCTCCCTCTTCTTCCCTCAAACTTTACTTTCACAATGTACTCCAATTTTTTCCCTCTCATAATGTGACTAAAGAATGTAGATTGTCTTTTTCTGATGTGGGCAATCAGTCCTCTTTATTACTGTTTATTTGTTCTGGGTATTGTGATGATCATCATCATCAGGTGCCTTGCAGACTGGCGTGGGCCTCTCCATAATCTGCGATCTCCTACAGCATGTATCAGTTCGTGTGCCGACACACCTCCATGCCATGCAACAAGACTGTCAAGCATCTTCTCTCGTTGTCTTCTTCTATCTCCCCTTCCACATATCTTTCCAGTGGTCACAACATGTTCTATTTTCCCTCTTCTCATAACATGGTATTGTGATCACTAGTCTATAAAACCACATATCTGCTGCTTCCAAATAATTTCAAAGTCTGTATCAGAGATACTCATTTAATTGAAACACCATTTTATTTTGTCATATTGCGAGTTAATATTCTGTGTCTCCTACACTGTCTTTTTTAGAATTTATCAGCAAATATTGATATCAGAGCTCTCAAAGGCATGACCTTGTGTTCTCCATTTTCTCCATAGTAGAAGAGTATGAATACTAATAGTTTTCTCCCTACGTACAGTTTTTGTTGATTTAGCCCTTTCACTTCAAGCTGCCGATAATTCAGCATGCCAGAATTTCTATGGTAATGTGTTCATTTAATTCTTTGCACCATTTGTATTTAATAATTACTTCTTTTCACATATTTTTATACCATTTTAAAAAGTGCCCCCCCCCCCCCCCAAAAAAAAAAAATTTTTTTTTTTAAAATGATTTGGGAAGAAATGGTAGTATTTAAAGAAATATTTGTTGTCAGTAATCACGGGCCATGGACCCACCAGAATGTACATTAAATCTTGTTTGCGTTTGAAAAATTTCAGGTTGAAGGCAGAGTTGGATAAAAAAGCGTCGGAGCATGAAGAACAGATCGCTCATCTAACTTCCAAGCACAATTCAGAACTTAATGCTGTCAACTATCAGCTGCAGGACAGTGAGTCTAAGAGATCAGAACTGACAGGGAAACTGTCCAAATTACAAGGGAAAATAACAGAACAGCAGAGCAGGGAGGAGCTTCAGGAGCAGATCGCAAAGCTGCAGTCACAGATTGAAGCTGCTGAACATACAATTAAAACTATCACTGAAGAAAAGAAGATACTACAAGAGGAATCTCAATCAGTATGTATCTGAGTCTGTCTGTCTGTCTCTCTCTGTGTCTGTCTCTCTCTGTGTCTGTCTCTCTCTCTCTCTCTATCTCTCTGTCTTTTCTCTCTCTCTCTCTCTCTCTCTCTCTCTCTCTCTCTCTCTCTCTCTCTCTCTCTCTCTCTCTCTCTCTCTATGTGTGTGTGTGTATGCAGGCTCTCCCCCCAACTCCCAGTATATTTTAACTTGCATGGTTGTTTCCCTCCATGTGTGTTGCAAGGCCCCTTTGGAGGGGGAAAAGGAAGGTGGGGGGTGGGATAGACTCATTGCCCCTCAAGAAGCAAATCCTTAAAGCAAGGATTTCTTTACCCAGCCATTATTGTTGATCTGAATTGATTCATAAACATTTGAGAAGAAAATAAAGTGTTGGCTTATTATCCATATACACTTAGGGTTGTCTGGCCGCTGAGTTAATGGTATGTGTCGATTCCTTCCCCGCCCAGAAATGGTTGTCATCAATATTGTCAAAGAAGTGTCCTTTCAATGGCAACTTTATTTTTGGGAATAAAAACTAGTCACAGGTAGACAAATCTGGAAGAACAGGGTTAGTGGTTGAGAACACACGCTTGTTTTTAGGCCAAAAATTCCTGTGCAACTACCGCCCTGTTTTGGAGCCGCCGTATCATAGTGGTCTCACTGGCTTGCCAAGCCAAAAGTTTGGGAGCAGTCAGCATTTCTTGTTACTGTGTATCTGGTATATAATGCTAGACCCATATTTTATATACCAGTTGGCACTCAGTTCAGCCATCTTTGCTCTCAGCATCTCCTGGTGCCTGTTGAAACGGGGTTGGCCTACTGCATATGGCAGGGCTATACAACAGTTGACGCGTGGACTGAATCCGGTTGCAGAGGTCGCAGTTGGCCCAGTGATCATTGCCAGTTGTTCCCCTTGTGGGTTCCGGGGCCCTATTGTGTTGTAAACAAGAATAAACCCACTGCCTTCCCTACAAGCATGTCTCATAAGAGTCGACTAATCAGAGGGCATCTGCCTGAATGGCAAGGAACCAAGAGTCTGCAAACAGATTAGTCAGATCCAAAAAATGAATATGCACACAATACAACACTCAGGGTCTGGAACAAGTCCAGAGGTGGATGAACACCCAGAACTTTCCTCCAGCGTTTACAGCCGATGAAACAAAGAAGATAGCCTGTTGTATTGTCTTAATGATCATTTTACACTAGGGCTCATAAAGATCCCCATTCTCAACATGTTGCCCCCTGAGTAAACTTAGTTGAATAATAGCTCTTACATGTGGTATCACTTTTTTTTGATGATGGTGTAGGACAGGGTTCTTGAACCTAAAAATTAGGGCCTCAAGGCTTGGACAATCGTAACAAACTGTACAGGCTAGGAAGGAGTTGTAGCACCCCAGTGCTAACTCAGACTAATTAAGAAAAAGAAGAAGATTATTACTGTATTTGCCAGGTTGCAAGCAGTTTCTTTGATTTGATGGTTTAGTTTACATTAAAATGTAAACTCTTCCTTGCTTCAGCAATTCAACCGGCTTGAAACTTTGGTAAAGGAAAAGAAACAGATGGAAGATGAGATGAAGGATGTGTATGAGAAGAGACAGTCAGTTACACAGTGGGAAGGACAGATATCAGAGATCATTAAGTGGTAAGTTTAATGACATTTTTTGGGTTTTTCTTTGATTTTACCTCTTCTGGGTTGATTTTCTTCAACTATTAAAGTGTAGAGAATAATAAAACTGAGATATTAACTTGTTCTGCGCAAGTCTGTCATTGTGAAAGACTTTTCTTAACACGGGCGGGTTGTGCTATTCACACTCATCATTGCCATAGGCTGCGAGTTCCATACGTCCGCACAGTATAACACTTTGGTCTGACGTCCTCAAATGAGTCCAGGTTCCCATTGTGGGGAAAACAAGAACAGACCCACTGCTTCCCCAACAAGCATGTTGTAAGAGTAAACCAATGGGGGGCTTCCTTCAATGTCGGAGTGCATCTGCCTGAGAGGTAAGGAACTAACAGTCTGCACACAAATAGTCTGCACACAAATAAGAAAGAGCTGTAAAATAAATACGCATGCAAATCTCAGATACACACATGTTCCTTGGCATTCCAGAGATAATCTGATGATTTGTTAGATTGACTTTTTCAACTTGAATTATTTTTGTCACCTTGTTGCCCTGAGAAAGCTGGTGTTATGGCTTTTTACTAGAACTGTTGGATTGTTGAAACTGACAACAAAGGTGTTTGTCACTACAAAAGTGGATAGAGCCCTGAGGATAACTCTTGCAGTGAATTTTTCCATGATTTTTTATTATACACCATGCTGAGCTCTGTTGGACTAATTCTAGCTTTACTTCGTAACACTTCTCCATATTGTATTAATTGAATGTATGTTATTGGGGCTAAAGTCTGCTTGCTTTTTAAAATGTCAAAATGAGGAGTGTCAAACTGGCAGCCGTCGGGCCACATGCAGCCCTTTACAAGCACACCTGCGGCCAGCACAATGGAAATCTTCTGCAATAATTTTTATTAAATGACTCCAGTTTATTGTTTTGTGCGGCCCTCATGGCGACTCATATGGCCCTCTAAAGACTCTCCGTTTGATACGCCCAGTCTAAGTGCATGGATCAGTGAGGAAGTCTCTGTCTGTGAGTTTAGTAAATGAAGATGTAAGCCATTTCTTGCATCCTGCAGGATCAGTTGACAGAGCAGTGAGGAAGATTGTTGCAATGAGTGTTGTTTGAAACATATGGAGCAATGAGGAAGATACCTTCAATGAATCGCATCGTGATTGCTTATTATACGCTATTCTGAGCTCTGTTACAAACATTCTACCTTGCTAAGACTTCTTCAGATTGTATTTTTTTTTTAAATGTATGTCAGTGAGGCAAAAGTCTGCTCGCTTATAAAATTGTCTAAACACATGGAGCTTCTTCTTCACTTTCTCTTTTACTTCTTCAGGTGACGAGGAGGATATAAGGTTCTTTTTCTTGCGCTTCTGGCCTTTTCGACCATAGACACACCGTGCTGTTGTAGAATATCTCTGCTTTACTTTCCATCTCATTCTTGGCATACTTTGTGTCTTTTCTCCATCTTTTTTGGGTGTATTTTTTGTGGTATAGCATCACAATGCATTCTTTATGGGCAGACCATTTGCTGTCTTTATATGTAAATTAAAATTGGTTATGTGCTGACTTTTTTCTCCTACCTCCTCATTCCTGATTTGATCTCTTCTAGCAGCCTTTCTCAGATATCTCATTTTCATGGGTACTTATTTTCTTTTCGGGTTTGCTGTTGGGTGACCATGTCTAGCATTGGTAGCATAGAGTGGGAATGAAATATGCTTGTGGGTAAAGCTGGGAGGACAATTCTGTCAAGAAATTTTTCTACGATTGTTTATTATACGCTATTCTGAGCTCTGTTAAATGTTACAAGGTTCTAGATTAGATCCCTCCAGATATTGATTGGATTTTGACCCACCTCCCACAAGCAAATCATGATAATCAACTTTTTAAGAGTTATTTTCTGCGAAGTTTTAGTACATCTACCTGGGAATCGAGTAACCAACCAACAGTTTGCATCTATAAAATGGATGTGCACATAAAATTCAAGTTCTGGAGCAAGACTAAAGTCCAGATGTGGATGGACAACCAAAACTTGTAACTTTAGTTTCCAGCCGATAAACACAAAGGAGAAGGGTCCCCAGTGGCATAATCTGTTGTCCAGTCAGCTCTGACCTAAGTTTTGGATGTAAAAATATAAGACCCACTGCCCCCCAACAAGCAGGCCATAAAAGTTGACTGGCTATGAGTTTACTTAAATCGGCTATGTTAAGCTAAAAGGTAAAGATATCACAGCTTAGCTGTAAACCACAACACAATATGCCGACCACCTTTTAAGTGTGAATGCAGATGAAGTAGAACAATTAATGTTACATAAGATTTGGGTATATATCAGAAGTGCAATGGATCTGTTTTTAAGTATACAGAGCAATGAGGAAAATCTGGAAATGAGTTTTATCATGATTAAAAAAAAATAATTGTACGCTATTCTGAGCTCTGTACTGTGCAGAATGATAATTTAATACCTTAACTTTAATAAATCGGATTTGAACATTTCACACAGCTAGGATTTCACCATTTCAACTCCTCTGTCCCCTCCTGAGATTTGACTCGCGGGCCACCAGTTAAATAACCTTTAAATAGACCCACTATCATTTTAAGCACTCGTTTTTTCAGAGTACCACTGCCTGTTATCTCTTAACAGTTATGTCATACCTAAATGTGACTATTATATCCATCCATCCATCCATCCATTCCATACATACATACAGACATATGTCTGAGTTTATCTGCCCGAGAGACGAGGAACCAGCTATCTGTATTCAAATAAGCCAGATATGTAAATCGGATGTGCAAACAAAAGTCAAGCTTTGGAACAAGACAAGAGTTCTAAAGCTGGTGAATACGGAGAAAAAGAAATCCTCATTATGCCTTGAATGGCGTTTACATTTAACTGTTTTTGTTTAAAGTGACAGTAAAGACGTGAACTAGCCCTGTTATTAAAAAAACTGCGCAGTAGTTGGAGCAATGAGGAAAACCTTTTCAATTAATTTTACCATGATTATTTATTATACGCTATTCTGAGCTGTGCTACATAAAATTCCAGCGTTATTTCATAAAACTCCCCTAGATTGTCTTGTTTGCATGTAAGTCAGTGGCACAAAAGTGGCCAAGAGAGATGATGTTTGATATCATAACAGTGATGAACATCTGCTCAGGAAATGATTGGCAGTATATTAGACAAGGCTGCTGACAGACTGACTAGTCACAAGGAATGGACTACAAAAACAAGGAATTTATATTTAGATTTCCCAGTGTGGCTTCCAGGGTCCTATTGTAAGGTGAAAAAAAAAAAAGAATCGACCCACTGCCTCCCTAACATGCATGAAGTACAGGTTGACCAGTTAGGGGTATTTCCTTTAAACTCTGAGTGCATCTGCCTACACACGCAGATCAAAAAGCACAATTTTTTTAAAATGAGTGTCACTTAGAGAAATAAAGGAACATATGGGCCAGTTCTTGTTTTTTTCCCATTTAAGAACAGTAGATAGAACAACGAGGCAGAGTCTTGTAATGAGTCTTAAGATTGCTAATTATACTGCTCTGAGCTCTAATACACAATTTTAACATTGTTTCCTCGTTGTAAATATTGATAAGTTTTCATTAATGACAAATATGTTTTGAATCTAGATTACTATAGTGATGATTTTATCTGTATTAGGTAGCAGGCCCTTTGCAATAGTTTAATTACATACAAGAGGAGCAGTGATGAAAATGGTATGACTGAGCTTTATGATGATTGTTCATTATACGCTATTCTGAGCTCTATCTTTAGCAGACATCTAACTTTTATACCTTGACTGTTGTGTTGTCTTTATAATCATGTAACAAGACAGCGGTATATCTGATATATTTATCCATGAATAAATGAGAATTAAATATAATTGGAATGGCGGTTGTTATATTTGCCTGTGTAGACTTATTCTGAAGTTCATTTTTTAGACTATTTTATTTGTTTACTAAAAATCACAACAGTTTTTGCAGATCCTCTTTTGTTAATTTGAGTCCCTTGATGATGTGTTAGTAAGTAAGATGATGTGTAAGTAACTGTTAGATTATTTAAACTGTCATGTAGATATGAACTTGCCCTTGTGTCTCCAAAATGCAGAATGTAGAGCAGTTGAGTGCAACACTTCTTGTGTGATTGTTTATTATATGCTTATATGAGCTTTGATATGTAATATTCTAGCTTCATTTTCCCTTAGATGAATATTTTTAGTGTTTTGTGTGACTAAGTATAGCTGTTGGTATTTACAGGGTCAGTGATGAAAAGGATGCTCGTGGTTACCTGCAAGCTCTGGCAACAAAGATGACAGAAGAGTTGGAAAATTTGAAAGTCATGGGAGGCTCTGAGGAGGCTGTAAGCTCTTTGTTCTTGCTAGCTATAATTATCTGGTGGCAGTTTAAGTTATCTGTTACAGAGCTGGCAGTTGAAGTTATCTGTTACAGAGCTGGCAGTTGAAGTTATCTGTTACAGAGCTGGCAGTTTAAGTTATCTGTTACAGAGCTGGCAGTTTAAGTTATCTGTTACAGAGCTGGCAGTTGAAGTTATCTGTTACAGAGCTGGCAGTTGAAGCTATCTGTTAGAGAGCTGGCAGTTGAAGTTATCTGTTAAGAGCTGGCAGTTGAAATTATCTGTTACAGAGCTGATAGTTGAAGTTATCAACTGATGGAGCTAGCAATTGAAGTTATATGCTGAATCGGCTCGTTGTTAGTTGAAGTTATCTTCTGACTCAGCTGGTAGTTAGTTGAAGTTATCTACTGACTCAACTGGTAGTTGAAGTTATCTACTGACTCAGCTGGTAGTTGAAGTTACCTGCTGACTCAACTGGTAGTTAGTTGAAGTTATCTGCTGACTCAACTGGTAGTTAGTTGAAGTTATCTGCTGACTCAACTGGTAGTTGAAGTTATCTACTGACTCAGATTGTAGTTAGTTGAAGTTATCTGCTGACTCAGCTTGTAAGTTAGTTGAAGTTATCTACCAAGTTGGCAGTCATATTGATTATGAAAGCTTAGCTCTTGGCTATTCCATTGTGTATATGAGAATTATGACCTGCTCAGACAGTATGACACTGACAGAACGTTAGTTTTATGTGTGTTTTTATTTAAGATAATATCCTATTTCTGTTATCAGGCCTCAGCTCACATACATATGCAAAGAAAGTTGATATGATGCTGTCTTTAATATACCGTTACAAATCCCTAAACACACGGTCACTGCTATTTTTATAATATGCTGATTCAACTATAGGTTTATGAGAAATTATTTGGAAGCCCAAGAATTATGGTTTTAAAGAAGATATTGGTAGATTGAAAGTATAGTGATTTCCTGGAATAAGTTCACTCGCAAAGAAAAGTGGCAGGTTGCATCAGAAGAATACTATCTACATTTTGGGGAATGTCTGAATATAAATAAGCCAGATCTGTAAAATGGATGTGGATACAAAACTCAAGTTCTGGAACCTGACTAAAGTTCAAAAGTGGATGAACAACCAGAACTTTACTCTGGAGTTAACAGCCAGTATAAGCTAAGAAAAAGAAGAAGAAGAATCTGAAATCAGTTGGGAAGTTTGAACATTGGAGAGGAAAGAATAGCCAAGGAAGGCCAAGAGAGATCATGTTAGATATCATAACAGTGATGAAAATCTGCTCAGGAAATGATTTGCAGTATATTAGACAAGGCTGCAGACAGACCGATTACCAGTCATACACAGAATTGACCAGAAAAAAAGGAATTTATATTAAATTTTCCCAGAGTGGGTTTCCGGGTCCCATTGAAAAAAGGGGAGGGGTGAGAGAATAGACCCACTGCCTCCCTAACAAGCATCTGCCTGAGAAGTGAGGAACCAACGGTGTGCATGCAAATAAGCCAGATGGGTAAAATAATTGTGCATGCAGAACTCAAGTTCTGGAACAAGATTTAAATACCAGAACTGGACAAATGGCCAGAACTTTCTGCCAGTTTATAGCTGATGAAAGCCATAATGAAGAAGATATATCAAATTTACTTCTATGCATTGGGGTATAATTCCACATATTATAAGTGTAATCTTGTTCTGATACAATTTTAATGTCACATTAGTCAGGTCATGCTAATTTCAATGTGTGCTTTTGACCTATCCAGTCACGCCTTAGGTGGAGGAGCCGCCGATCTGCAAAAATGGATAAGATGGAATTGCTAAACCTGCAGCTACAGATACAGTCTGAACTTCAGGCCAAGCAGCAAGTGATTGAGGAGCTGTCAAAGACCAAAGATGAGCTGGCTACTACTGAAAAGTATGACTCCAAAACAGTGTTTCCCCAACTATTCTTAGTCGCGACACCTTTTTTTTTAATGACAATTTTTTTGCGGCGCACTAGCCTAAGTAAACGTATGACTATTCGAATGTGAGAAAAAAAAAAGTATTGGGTTCTGGGTTCCCATTTTTGTGAGGGGGAGGAGTGGGGCGGTGGGGGGGATAGACCCACTGTCCCCCCCCCCCCCAAAAGCATGTTGTAAAGTCAATTAATTAGAGGTGTTTTTTTGAAATCGGAGTGCATCTGCATGAGTGGAGAGGCCTCAGTGGTCTGCTTACAAAAAAAAAAACTCAAGTTCTGAAACAAAACTGAAGTCCAGAAGTACAAGAACAACCAGAATTTCTGTTGTAGTTTGCTTAGCTGGGTCTGTATGGACTCCTAAATGATGCAGCACAATCCCTACAGGGGAGTATTCAATAATATGGTTTCTGTTTCTTTCTTGTACTTCTAAGAGTTGTATATGTATGTTTATCTGCGAAGTCAGTTTAGTGGCTAAGTGTTTAAGCCATTTCTGTCACATTCATGGATTCGGTTCAAGAGCAGCTTTTACAGAATCTCCCCTAGAATTCGTCAGTTGAACTATGGAATTCATTTCAGACAGAACCTAGCCTAATAAAATTGTTTTTTTAATAAATGACTCTGAGGAAATAAATGTGTTACCAGCATAATATTATTACTGTCACCCACCTCTTGACTTCTGATCATTGACAGATTGCTGCATTAACCAGTATTCCTCAGTGTTTGTGAGAGGATCTTCATACCAGTCTGTAGTAACCAGTTATGTGAGAGCTGTCTGGAATGTCTGGTTTTTCTTTTCTTTAGCATAACACCTGTGTCTGGAATATAAGACACCAGCGTCTCATACCAAGCTATGTTATCACAATCGATGTCACTGCATATTGGGCCAAGTACTCTTGTCTTTTGCTGTCTCTCAAGTTACTTATGTTGTCTTTTTTGTTGTTGTTGGTGGTTCTAAATTCTTCTCCAGCCCTCCCCCCTCCCCTTATCAGTTTTTCTTTCTTTCTCATTTTCTTTTGTTCTGTTTCTTTTTTCTCTGTCACCACGTCTGATTCTCTTCTGTATATATTTGTTGGATTCCAGAACAAACCAAAAGAAAACAAAAAAAACAACACTTCTAGCCTTAATATTCATAGACTTCTTTAGTGTGTCCCTTGTTTAGCTGCAGCACCTGTCCTTCACAGAAACACATCTAGTTATTTCTGAGCACAATATTATTGATTCTGCCATGCAGTCTTATTCTCACAAGTGTAATTATAGTATATTTGCCACAGTCTCTCAGCATTCCTGCAAGTATTTATGTTCTATTCTACAGTAAGTTGCAAGAAAGTAATGAGCTGGTGAATGAGCTAAGGAAAACAATAAAAGATCTGGAGCTGAAGATCAACAACATGAATGACCAGAATAGAATTGACCAATGTGAGTATTTCTGTGGTCAGATCGCTGTGTTCAGTATTTGTGGATTTATTCTACATGTCTGCTGCAGGTGTTGTAGCCTTGAAGACTGGAAAAACCAGGGAAGAGTTATAAATTCTTGTTTTTTTTTTTTTTAAAGGCAGGGAATGGAATAAAGACCTAATTAAACCTGAAATTACATCGCAATTAGGAAAGCTTGAACAAGATGGAAACAATCGGAGTGTTCTGTTATTTGGAGTAATTTAGGGGAGAATATAGTTAGCTTCATGCTATTTCAAAAATTAGGATAGCTTGACATGAATTTGTTGAAGGGGAATAAATGGCAAAAGCAGCATTTAAAAAGTTAGCGCGACTTTATCTGATGGTATATATTCAGAAAGCTGACTTTGTTGTTGTTGACGAGCATTATAATCATTACCTTTAAGAAACTAATGTGATTTTCAAAGTTTTGCTCAGGTTTATGGTGTCTAGATAGAACAAACATGTCACTGTTATGTTTTTACTACACATTAAGCAGTTCTGGTGTGGAGCAATAAATGTTGCCACATCTGACAATTGCCTTATGTCTTTTTACTTTACATGTGCAAGCTTCATGATTTTACTGGGACTGACAGTACATTTATTTCACTAGTTTTCCAATTGGACAGTGAAAAGCTTGTGTGATTGTCACTAGCACAGTTTTAGGGCGACCTGTCGACTAATGACATAATAAAATGTTAAGCTCTAGATTTTGTATTTAGTTGTAAAAGTGTGATTGACATAATTTTAGCTTCCTTGAAGATGAAATTATGACACTTTTTTCTCCAAATCATAAAATAAATACAGGTTAGTTGCGTTTCCTTTACAGGACACTGTAGAACCAACCCCAACAGCCCCTGGCTGTTGTGTGGTTTTTGTAGGCAAATTTACGTCCAATAGTTTGCCATTGTTTTCTGGACGGTCGGCTTTCTTGATACCACTGTCGAAACCAATGCAAGGTGCATGGTCCGCAGCTGGGATCGAACCCGGCATCCCAGCATTACAAAACGTTTGCATCGACTTAGCCACAGAGCCGACAAAATAGATACAACCTGACATTAAATTTAACAGCCTTTTGAGCAACATAAATTCATGGGAGTAAGATACATTTTAGTTGACGTATTGCAATGATAATTTATTATATATTTATTGGCTAAAGCATTCAGACATATGCACTCACACATGATTTTTTACAGTCTGCAGATACTGTATTTAATTAGATTGTTTCGGAATAATTTCTCACTGTTTCATATTGTGGAAGCCATGTTAACATTCTAATGGTCACTATGCTGCTCTGTTGGTCATGTAATTGTGTTTTCATAAGACAGGGTTTGAAGAAATAAACGGGCAAAACCTAAAACAGAAGTCGGAAAATGTTCTGGGTGGTTAAGGTGGCTGGCTTGAAATTGTTTACATTACCCAAGAAGTACTGATTTGTCTGTGAAGACTTTTGAATAGCATAATGCACTTAGTTTGCGGGAAAAAAGGGGGGGGGGGAGTGATCATGCACTGGGTGGGTGGGTGGAAGAAAAGAGAGAGAGAGGGAGAGGAAGGAAAAGGATTTGTAGGAGTAGCTGAATAAGGCATTGAAGAAGCCTCTGCAATAAAACATTATCAAGACATCCAAACTATAAAGGCAACCAAAAAAAAAAATAATGTGATTACAAACAGCATATTAATACCAACATTGAATACCAGTGCCAAACAGAGAAGCATATGTACTCAAAATCACCACCTGTGTGATAAGATGCCTGAGAAAAGCCACCCATGTAACCATCTAAGAATTAGTGAATAAAAAATACTATCAGACATTTTGTGGGAACACCTTTTACTAGATTCATCTAGAATCAGCAGATCAAGCAGCTTAGCCTTCTTGTTAGAATGCAGCAATATCAAATACTGTCAAAGGCACTACATCTCAGAAGATCCAACTAAAAGAGCAAGAGGATGATCACAACGAACATGGATTGACAACATTAAAGACACTTTACACCTTTATGGTATGACAGTAGCCAGTGCCAGCCAGCATGCACTGGTTCACAAATAATTATCCCTTCCCACAGAAATGGTTTATGATGATGATGATAAATACAACAAAATTATTCTACATTTGAAAATAAAAAGTGTTGTATTTCACCTTCCATTTTGTTTCAGCAGTCACTGGTAATAAAGTTTATGTATCCCATCCAGCTTATATGGTGAAATCCTTTTCAGGGGAACACGGGAGAGGGGAGAACAGTTCTATCTTGAAGTACATGAATGCTCGCTATGCTCTTCTTCCTGATGTGAGTACATGTTATTTCTTGTGTTTGATATAGTGGATCTAAGTCTAATACAGATCTTTATCATTGAATGCTTTGTTCCACTAAGTTTCTAAAGACGAGGGGATTGACTTTATAGCATCTAGCTTTTACCCCATTTGACTCAGTCCTTCCACAGAAAGGCTTGTCAGCTGCAAAGATATCTTACAAAGCATCAGCTTCATAGCTCCTGCAGTGATCCCCAGGGATCTCTGTTTAAAAATGCACTGATGAACTGAACTGTGTGTCTCTTAAATGAACCCATACTTTCAGTGCGCCAGGCAAATGCTTTGCCACAGAGACCAAGACCTTGCCTTGCTCCTCTGAACGATCATGCTTCTCCATGTCATGTTGTCTCCAGCAGCATGTATCGGTTTGTTCACTGGCACCTTTTATGCAATGATAAAATGCTATTGAGACCTGTCTTTTTCTTCCTCTATTTCTTTCTCCCATTATATTTCCAGTTGTCACATCTTACACTTGTCTCTTCTCATAATGTGACCAAAATGCGTTAACTGCCTTTTTCTAATATTTGGGATATCTTTATGCCTTTATCTTTTTCAAATCATCCAACTCTTCTATCGATTTATTTTATGGTCTCCCTTTATCTTTTTTGGCATGTTTTTATAAAGAGTTGAGTTATGTTGAGTCAAGTATTGACATCACAGCACTTGGGGCAATACCATGCATGCTCTGTCCTCATTTTCAGAAGCCAATCTGGTTATATGTCCATCTTGCCTTCCTCTGAGTGTAGTCAGCAAGCCAGACCCTCCGGTTACTCCCAGGTGCCTCATTCTCTCCAGGCCATAATAGTCTTCTTTCTCTACTGATTCCGTTGCTTGTTTCCTGTTTTTATAAGGTCATTTGTTAGTAAGTATGGCTGGCACAACGGGCATGTGATGCTAGACTTATGTTTTATAGGCCAATCGGCACTTGATGAATGATGTGGCCACCACCACCCAGCAGCCTTTACTTTCCAAAACTTTACCAGGTACTCATTTTAATCTGAGCTGACCTGGGAGCCGATGTCATTTGTGGTAAAAATCCTACTCGAAGTGGATTTGAACTGAAGACATTCAGGCTGGCAGTAGGCATCTAGCTGCTACACCGTAGCGGCTTCCAAGTAATTGAATATGTTGACAACATTGTTCATTACAATTTGCAGCAAATATCAAACGACAGTGAGAGAGAAGATGACAGCGAGGCAGACAACACTTCAAGAACAGACTCCAGAACAGATTCCCACACTGACCTTCAGACAGCCAGTGACAAAGATTCATCTCTTCCCCGGGATGTGTCCTTTACCCTGCCTTATGAGCCTGTAAAGATGAGCAGTTTAAACAAGCCTGGCAGTCCTGGTCTTCGCAGGGCATGCTCTCTAGGTGGTGCGGACAGACCTCGCTCACCCAAATCTCCACATATCAAACAACATAGGTTGGTAATCGTGTAGTTTTTCTTCTTCTGTGTTTGTGCCGAACAGTATTTTATATAGATAGCTCTTCTCCTATCCACACTGGTCAGTAAAGCATTTAATTATAATTGAACCCCCGTATAAGACATTGTTCTTATATCAGTTATCAGTAAATAAAGATGTCGTCCTTTCACAGTGTTATGGAATATTAGATCACCATTTGTTATGGGATATTAGATCACCATTTGTAATGAGATAATAATAGAACACCATTTCTTTTGTACTGTTATATCACCATTTGTAATAGAATATTAGATCACCATTTGTAATGAAATATTAGATCACTATGTGTTATGGAGTATCAGATCACCATTTTTAATTGAATATTAGTAGTTACTTTAGTCAAATTTTAAAATGCCCTCTACACCAATAAAACCAGCACAGTTAGATAGCTGTAAATAATCTCTTTCCAACGGTACCTCATTTAGGCTTGTGTGTCATTTCTGAGCTGAGATATGTAGGTTTTTGTGGAGATGAGATGTAGAAAGCAGCTGCTAAAACTTGTGACCCAGAAACAAGAAGTTTTCTCTGCGCAACCAAACTGCGCACTTATCGTTTTGGCTTTGTTTACATTAGACTATCATTGGACAAGATGGCAGGCAATGAGACACAGCCACTGGCTGAGCCAGCGATTGCCTGAAAAATGTCACTGTACATCTACCTAGCCACTGACAAGAAAGAAATTTTATATACAAATGTAAAATTGGACGGAGAATTCAATTATAACTAGCATTACCATGTCTAGTAACAGGTAAAGCCTAAAGCCAACCCTGAATACTTATCGCTATTTTCAATCAAACTGATGTAACAGAAAAACAGAGGACGTCCGGCTGTCGTAGACATGCGCTGTTAATCGGGTTCCTTCCCGCCGTTTTCAGCTATTTATAGTGGGTGAAAATCACACCAATCGCAAAATTTCATAAGAGATTAGGACCCATCCCGAAACCCTAGCCGACATTTCCGAAACAAGTTTCAAACGGTTTCCATGGTAACGGAAATTGCCAAAAAGATCGCAAATTTCCGAAACTGTAGTCGCTAATATTAGATCACTATTTGTTTTAGAATTTCAGATCATTATTTGTAATTGGATTTTAGATCACCATTTGATATGGAGTATTTGCATGTAGTTATATAACAGTAAGTGCCTATGCTTACCAAGATAAGTATTTTGGATTAAATCCCCAGCATACCCGTGTGGGTTCGGTATCTCCATTGGAGTTGGGAGAGACCCTCTGCCCCCTCCCCTTCCCTTCCCCAAACAAACGTGTCTTTAAAAGTGACCAATTGGATGTTTGTTGAAATTGGGCGTTTTGGGTAAATCAAAACACAACACGTTTACTCAAAATTTGTTAACATTTTGACTCAGAAGAAAATATGGGAAAGGATGGGAGAGAATTTTCACCCTAATGGCAGTTTCTACCCGGTGACCACCTCTCTTTCTCAGGCTAATAGTGCTCTGGCTCGCCAGTTGTGAAACTGTGACAGATCCAGCAAACTGGGAGTGGATGAAAGCCTGCTCGAAGAAACAGTAGGAAAAGAAATTAGGCAAGAGACAGGATAAGAAATGACATTTCTGTCACTTAGACACAGTGGAAGCGGAACTAGAGGTCGGCCAAGCAAACAGTGGATGGATGAAATATCCAAGGCAGTGAATACCAGCATCTATTTAGCACTCATCAAGGCTTGCATCAGACGCCTCTTCAAAACCAGATGCTGAAAGGCAGGCAGAACAGGCTCTAGAGGAAAGAAGAAAACTACCTTTATCTGTTATATCTTTTTTTTACACATAAGTCTGAAAAAGTGGCTTTACCCTGTGACTGAATTTGTAAGCAAAATGTCTCTTATGAATGAGTAATGTAAATGTTTCTAGTGAAGCTTAAAAAAATAAAAATACAGCTTACTCCAGACATGAAAAATAAGCAGCTGCAAATGTTTGGCCACATTTTGAGTCGAGAAAAACTGGAACTTGTGACAACAGGAGAGGTTTTAAAGGAGAGATATGAATTTTTTTTTAAAGAAAAGAGTAAACAATGAGATTCTTAACACTTTTCTGTCATGACATAGAAAGGTATTATGTGATACATTCTGTTTGAGATAGCAAGATGCAGAAGAGCATGATCACCAACACATGTCAGCTACACTTTCTTTCTTTGCTGCTGAATCGAACCTGAAAATGGTGTTTGGTACTTTGGGTTGTGGTTTACAGCTGTGCTTTGATATGTGTGCTTTTCGGCCCAACATTGATATTTGTGCTTTTTGACCCAACATTGATATGTGTGCTTTTTGGCCCAACATTGATATGTGTGCTTTTTGGCCCAACATTGATATGTGTGCTTTTTGGCCTAACATTGATATGTGTGCTTTTTGGCCCAACATTGATATTTGTGCTTTTTGACCCAACATTGATATGTGTGCTTTTTGGCCCAACATTGATATGTGTGCTTTTCGGCCCAACATTGAAATGTGTGCTTTTTGGCCCAACATTGATATGTGTGCTTTTTGGCCCAACATTGATGTGTGTGCTTTTTGGCCCAACATTGATATGTGTGCTTTTTGGCCCAACATTGATATTTGTGCTTTTTGACCCAACATTGATATGTGTGCTTTTTGGCCCAACATTGATATTTGTGCTTTTTGACCCAACATTGATATGTGTGCTTTTTGGCCCAACATTGATATGTGTGCTTTTTGGCCTAACATTGATATGTGTGCTTTTTGGCCCAACATTGATATGTGTGCTTTTTTGCCCAACATTGATATGTGTGCTTTTTGGCCCAACATTGATATGTGTGCTTTTTGGCCCAACGTTGATATTTGTGCTTTTTGGCCCAACATTGATATGTGTGCTTTTTGGCCCAACATTGATATGTGTGCTTTTTGGCCTAACATTGATATGTGTGCTTTTTGGCCCAACATTGATATGTGTGCTTTTTGACCCAACATTGATATGTGTGCTTTTTGGCCCAACATTGATATGTGTGCTTTTTGGCCCAACATTGATATGTGTGCTTTTTGGCCCAACATTGATATGTGTGCTTTTTGGCCCAACATTGATATGTGTGCTTTTTGGCCCAACATTGATATGTGTGCTTTTTGGCCCAACATTGATATGTGTGCTTTTTGGCCTAACACATCCGATTTCAGAATTTCTCTAATACGTTGCCCTTTATGACATGCTAACAGTGGGTTTTCTCCCCCCCAACCACCACAAATGGGACCACGGAACCCACACTGAGAACAAGTCATCAAGACATGTAACGATCGTGAACCTTAAGAGATTTTTAATTCATAATTGAATTCCTGAAAGATTCCACCCTATGTTGCATGATAACTATCATTAATGTGTCTTCATTGAGTACTGTTAATATTTTCAGGTTTGTGGTGAAATCTTTCCAGTCTCCTGTTAAATGTAACTACTGCAGCAGCCTACTTGTGGGTCTCCATCGGCAGGGCATCAGCTGTGAAGGTAAACATGATAACATTATGCTTTTGTAGGCAATAAATATGTAGCAGCTAGTTCCTTTACATAAAATAAAGTTAGTTGCATATCCTTTACAGGACATTGCAGAACCAGCCCTAGTATTTTTTTGGGTGTTTGGTTTTACTAGGCAGTTCTACATTCAGTAGTTTGTCATTGCCTACTGAACAGATGGCTCTTGATATCATTGTGGAAATCAACACAGATCAGTCTGCTCCAAATGTCCTTCAAATCGAACGCGCTGTTTCGGAGTTGCGCAGCACTTTTAAAACGCCCAAGACACTGCAATGATACATTCTGAACCGAACACTCATGTGAAGTTGGAAATCATCAGAAATACCAATTATAATAATGATAATGAAAAGTTTAATTACAACTGGGTTGTAATAATTAATTGCTTACGTGTAATGCTACCAGGATGCTTGTTTGTGAGAGCAGTTTCCGTCAATGAAACCATCTTCATTTCATTGGAATTTAATTGTATTGATTCAGATAGTGAGACAGTTGGAGAGAGACAGACAAGAGAAACAGAGTGAGTGACAGGCACACACAGGAGAGATAGAATGAATGAACAAATACACTTTATTGTAAAAGAGTTGCAAATTGGGCACGAGTCCCAACTTACATTCTGCCCTTCCTAACACCTATTCTTTCACACACCAACTATTATTATCAACAAAGCATATTATATGATATAGGAAAACTGCATAATATAAGTGTAAAGTAAAATGCAAATCATCCATGCATACATAAACATGTACATTTATACTTACACCCATATATACACACACACACAGGTCTGCAGTCTTATATCCATCCACCCTGTTGAGGAATGGATACCGTTTGCCTAAAGCGCTCAGTTGCACCTTCTCCTTTGTCATCACACTTGACAGAAGTTGTCGGGAGAAGAATCCTATTGTTGTCTATGCCGAGGTCCATACACGATCTGAGGATTTTGTAAGCAGCTTGTCCACACTGCTAAAATACAAGAATTGGGAGTAGAGATCGGCACAGCCAAGCAAAAGAGGCAGACCGGACACACAGAAAGTCTTGTTAACAAGCATAGGACTGGCAATATTAATCATGGGATGCTGATGTGTTTGTTGAAGGGGGAATTTGAGCACCTATAGATGTCTCCAGAGTGCTGTGAAGATAACCCAACTCATGTCTTATACGCAGACATACATATTGCATAAATTCACGCACACAAGCATCCACGCACATACACATGCATTCAATGTGCACATGAATACAACCCATGAATACAACCCATGAATACAAGCACAGTCATACATAGACACAGAATCACAGGGGGAAACAGAGAGAGAGAGAGAGAAAGAAAGAGAGAGAGAGAGAGAAAGAAAGAGAGAGAGAAAGAAAGAGAGAGATAGAGAGAACAGAGAAATCTCTGATGTTTTTGGATATAAATGTGCAACCAATATTTTTTTTTTTTTACAATTTGCAGCCTGTAACTACACATGTCATGTTGGGTGCATGGGGAAATGTCCGGATCACTGCCCAGTTCCTCCTGAGCTTGGTAAACAGTTTGTTTCTTTTCTGTTTTATCATGTTTTCACTGTGACAGTCTGCTTACATGTGTACTGTTTTCTTTGCATACTAACTGCTATTTGCCTTACTTAAGTTTCATGATATGTTTTACAAAACAATAAACACACTCAGCTTTAGAATGCAGTCCTCCCCATGATGATTTCACAGTCCCGGGCGGGGAAGAAGGGGGAGGGGTGAGCGCCCTCCCCCTTTCCCGGACATTTAGCTGAGGTACAAGGTGGAAGAGAATAAGAAAAAGAAAAATTAAAAGGCGGGGGTGGGGGGGGGGGGGGGGGTTAACGCCCCTAACAAGCATGTTATAAATGAGAATTAATATTAATAAATCGTGATGCCTTTGAAGTCAGAATGTGTCCCCTTGGGAGGCAAGGAACCTGCACTCTGCATACACGTAAGCCAGACCTGTAAAACTAATTTTCAAGTAAATCTCAAGTTCTGGAACAAGACCAAAGTCCAGAAGTGGTCAAACAACCAGAACTTTCTGCAGGAGTTTACAGTTAGTGAATGCTAAGAAAAAGGAGAAGGAAAATGCTTGTGGTTTTAATAGTTATAAATTATAGGTTTTGCCTTATGACTATTGAAAAGGATGGGGTCTTTGGCAAACCCAAGAGCAAAGAAGGAACCACTGCATTAGATTATAGAGATAATTGAATAAGTAATTATATTTTTAAAGATTCTCTTATTCAGTTTGTAGCTTCTACCACTTGGTATCATTATTTTTCCACAGCAAAACGTTCATTTGGAATAGAAAAGGGACAGTGCTTAACATGTGAAGGATTTGTCAGGGTGAGTTTATGTTTATATGTTACAATTATATGTTGGTGGAGCATAAGAGGTCACATAGAACAAAAGATAATGCTCGATAATAAAGAGTTTAAAGTTATGCTAGTGATGATGGACACATTGTTTGCGGGGACTCTCTGTGTTAAAATCAAGACTTTTGCTGTAATCAGTCTGCCGCTAGCTCCACTATGAAGGCACTTTGTATACTCTCTGAAACTTGTGTACTTCCATATTTTGATATCGTTCTTTTTTCATCTGTATCATTGTCTACGTTTTGCTTACCTATCTTTTAACCTTTCTCGCAGTTGGATTTTTAGAAGAAAGTTGTAGGCTTTAATGTAGTTAAACTTTTCAATTGCCTTTCTGAAATTAAATTTTACCTTTTTTTAATTTCCAGTTTCTCAAAAAGAGGTTTTTGTGTATTTGATCTTTATTGCCTCATTAAATAAGAAACATTATTCTGTTTTTAATGTAAACATAATTTGAAAGACATGCTCATCTTTGGGATGTGACTGTCATGTATGTAACAATGTGTACGTATTTTAAATGCAGTACTGTACACAGTACTAAGCTCTAGCTTCTTGCTTTTATGTTGAATTTACTAGTTGTGGCATGCATTTTAATGGTTATGAAAAAAAATATATATGTATATAATATATGTCGAATAGTGCTCACTGTCTTTTTCTTCTCTCTGTTCTGTCCCTGCAGTCCTTTTGTTATCATGGATGGAATCCAGTTCAGCAACTTTAGCTTCTCATCAGTGTTCATCTTGGGGTTTTCCCTTGGACACCTTGTTTTCTTTATCTACTCCCCTCCCCCCTCCCCCCAATTTGATTGCCCATTTGGTGATTGTCTGCTTGCTTCTTCTTAGAATGTGCTGAATTTAGCGCCATCTTCTTTGTCTTATAACTGTTGACAGTAGTGGTTGTCCAGATATTTCTTTTATTGTGTCTGCCTTCTTGAATTCATCTTCCCCATCTACGTTCTGGGGCCACATTGTGGGGAAAATAAGAATAGATCCACTGCCTCCCTAACAAGCATGTCCTAAGAGTTGACTAATTAGGAGTTTCCTCTGAAGTTAGAGTGCATTTACTTGAGATGCATGGCACCAACAATCTGCATACAAATAAACAGATCTGTAAAATGGATGTGCCCACGTCACCTAAGCTCTGGAACAAGACTAAATTCCGGAAGTGGAAGAACAACCAGAACTTTTCTCCGCCAGAGTTAACAGCTGATGACGGTGAAGAAAAAGAAAAAGAATTCACCCGGTTTAATTGCAAATGTGTTGCTGCTGTTTAATTATTGAGCACAGTTTAGTTCATAATGTTGCATATATTTTATAGATTCCTAGACTTGGTGGTATCAAGAAGGGTTGGGTGAGGGAGTATATGGTCATCTGTGATTTCAAGATTTTCTTGTATGAGATTTCTACAGAAAAGGGAACACCTGGCCATGAAATTCAACAAGTTGTGGACATGAGGTGAGTCCTAAGGAGGTGGTCTAGACTTTGTAAGAAAAGAGATATATTCTACTTGGTGTCCCATGAAGTTTCCATATGTAGGAACAATTAACGTATCACTAGTACAAGCATAAATCTAGCTGTGCTTATATGTGCTCTTCAGTAGGCTTATATGTGCTCTTCAGTAGTGGAGTCATGAATAAGAACAGCTCTGGTTATGCTTCTTGTAGTGACGTTAGTGATACGTTTATAGTTCTTATGTTTTGAAACTTATGGGACACCTGATATACCATGCCAGTAGCTAAAATTGTGTCCATATATTAGATGGCAAAATACATTGACTTAATTCTTCAGAATAATATCTAGAGCAGTGGTTCTCAACCTGTTTAATGCGGCAATCCTTTAATACAGTTCCTCATGTTGTGGTGACCCCCCCCCCCTCCCCAACCATACAATGTTTTTTTTCCGTTGCTACTTCATAACTTCAGTGAGGATGTCTTTTTCACTGGTCAGAGGGGTTGTGACCCACATGCTGAGAACCGCTAGTCTAGTGTAACCAGTTTTAGAGGATTGGATGTCATAGTTCCCTCTGTGGTTTCCTTGCCCCCATTGGGGGGGGGGAGAATATACAGTCATAGCATGTAAGGGTGTCAGCACACAAACTGATACATACTGTTGATTACAGGTTGTAGAGAGGCATGATCGCCCACACAATTTGGCAAGGTACTTGATGATGATTATGAGAAAGGGAAATGAGACAGACTGACTGACCAACAACAACAAAAACCCCAAAAAAAGACAGTAGGTCTCTGAAACTATCGGTTGTAGAAAAATTAAAAGTGTACAAGTGTATTTAAATGGATAAAAATAATTCTTAGATGATGGTTAAAGATAAGAAAAAATCATTTTCTATAACTAGAGAAATAATGCTTGTGCAATGACATTCACAGAGACGAGGAGTTTTCTGCAACAGCGGTACTACCCTCTGATGTGATTCATGCCAACAAAAAGGATATTCCATGTATATTTAGGGTAAGAAATTAATTAGGAATTTCCATGTTTGTTGCTTTAAAAAAAAAAAAAATTTACATTCTTGAAATTGTCAGCATGTCTAATAAATGCTGATTTAATTTGTTTAGCACATTTGCATTCATCTGTTTGTAAGTACCTGAATACTTGCACATGTACATGTTTAAAATCACTTTGAAAACATGCATACATACTGAGATGGTTTTCAGTGATTGTTACATCCAGTTACAGGCTTTCCAACCACCTGCTTGCATAAATACTTGCACATGTGTACGTGTTTAAAATCACTTTGAAAACACGCGTACATACTCACATAAACACAGATGGGTTCTTAGTGATTGTTACATCCAGTTGCAGGCTTTACAACCACCTGCATGCATGATTTGATTTGATTTGATTCAAGAACCGACATCACAGCTCTTGGGGCATTTCCATAAGCGCTCCGTCCCCATCTTCAGCAGCCAGCGAAGAGTTCCGATACTAATGGTGCATTCTGATTAAATGTCCGTCTTGCCTTTCCTCTGAGCCTTGAGCATCTGCCAGAACCTCGCAACACTCCCCCCTGCATCAATCTGACTGTGGTGATCCATCTGCTCCCCAGAACTGTACACGCTCTCCCACAAGCCACTAACCACGTCTGCCTTATCATGCATCAGTATTCCACAAAGTTGTGCAGAGCCAGCCAGTCTGTCTGCCTGTTCATTTCCCAACACACTGGCACACCCCGGCGAAAAAAATCCAGACAATACTCCTCACCCGTGTCCTCCGCAGCGAAGCATGCCACTCTGTACCTGCATGAATACTTGCATGCATACCTACACACGTTCACACCCACTCTTCACACACATGCACACACATGCACACACATGCACACACATGTTTGAGGAAGAAAAAGAACAGACCCACCGCCACCTAAAAAGCATGTTGTCAAGGGCGACTAATTAAGACGTTGCTGAAATCGGCAGTATTGGAGCTAAAGGCGCAGATATCGCAGCCTAACTGTAAGCCACAACACAACAAGCCAACCGCCCTTTTAAGGAAAAAAAAATATCACCTGGTGGGGAATCGAACACTGATCACCAGCGTGACAGGCAAAATACTTACGACTGTACTACCGAAGGTTTGAGTTTGGTTCAAATGAAATTATGTAATAAAGCAAAACATAGTTCGTAGTGTTCCTATTTCAGATTTTTAAATATATGACCTCTTGGGGCCCTGAATGGGATTTTTTAAAAACAGTGAATAATTTTGGACCGGTATTCAGAAGAGTGCCTATTTGTCATATTTTTCAGTCTTTTTATTGTCCATTTTCTGAATAATCGTTATATTCTTTGTCTGCTTCTGTGAGTGCAGATCAATACCTATGATTGTATTTCTAGTGCTGTTTCAGAGGCCCAAAGGGGTTCCCTAACTGACCTATCAATTCTCACCACAGGTAACAACTTCAGAAATGAACCCACCAGGATCACAGCACCAAATACTTCTGCTTGCTAATAATGAGAAGGAAAAGGAAAATTGGCTTGTAGCCTTGAAAAATCTGCACATGCTCTTGCGCAACAAGAATCTTCCAAACAAAAATGTAAGTTTTGAAATTATTTAGCGAATATAACAGTTAAATTTTCAAAAGACTAAACAGAGAGAAATTAAGAATTGTTGGAACAACACCTGTAAAAGTCCCTTTTCCATGCCTTTGAGTGTATTGGGAATATAGGGCTAGACCTATATTTTTATAGACCAAGTGGCACTTGGTGATGTGGTCAGCACCACGCAGCCGCCTTTGCTTTCCAGGACTGCGCCTGGTACCCACTTAATGCTGGGTCGACCTGGGAGTTAGGGTCATTTTTGAAAAAAAGTCAAGCTCCCTTAGGTTGCAAACCCACGAACATCCGATCTGCAAGGGGGGGGGGGGGGGGCGGCGGCGGCGTCTAGCCGCCAGCACTATTGCGACTCCTGAACAACACCTGTAATTCATTGAAAGACAAAGACTGAATTGGTTTGGCCATTTAGTGAGAATAAATCCAGTGATGTCAGCAATGAGAGCATACAACATAAAAGGGCTAGAAATGACCAGAAAGATTGATTGAAGAAATCACTGATATCTTGAGACTCGACAACATGCAGCATACCCTAGCTCATAAACGGATCATCTATTAACCTGCGATGCCTAACAGTACAAAGCAGAATATGGACAGAAGAAAGAAGTTTTAGAGAAATCATTTTCTGCTCTAATTGTATCTAGGGAGACTTCAGAAGTCAAAAGGAGATTGGCCATAACAGTATGGAAGACAAAATGGCATTAATTGCCTTTAGCTTAACATCAGCAGATTAAAGTTAACATTGTGAGAACATGCATCTTACCAGGGTCAACACATTTGAGTTGTAAACCATTTCACAATATCATTCAAGAAAAATTGTGGGATTTTAAACCAGAATCTCACTTAACAATTCTTAGAGTACCGTGGATCAGGAGAGACTGAAACACTGTGACAAATTTTAGTGTGACAGTGGTGTAGACAGAACAGTAATTAAAGGCACGATAGGAGCTACGTAGTGCAAAGGACCTGCAACATGATGATGATGTTATTAGTACTACAAATAACAAATTGTGTATAATGGTGATGTTTTCTCCTTGATAATGCAGGTATATAGTCCTCAAGAAGTGTGTGATAACTCTCTATCTCTGGTGAAAGTGACATATTCTGCTGCCATATTAGGTAAGGTTGAGCCTTCTCATTTCATTATTAACCTTGAACTTTCAAATGAGACATTGTTAACTGTTTTTTTTTTTTTTTTAATTAAACATTTATTGTTAACTTTAAAAAAAAAAATATACATCCAGAAACCATGAGTAGGTAACCCTTTGGCTCAGTACTATGGATATCGCAACTCTTTGGCCTTGATTCCATGATAGAAACCTTAAATCTGACAGAAATGTGGCATTTCTGCCTACCCCCGGGCGTGAACCCGGACCACAAGGGTTATTGACTGTTTAATTGCAGACAGCGCATAAAAAAAAAAAACCANGAGCTTGGTGAGGGACTACATTTATTTTTCTATTGGGGGGGGGGGGGGGTCTGACGATGGGAGCTACGTAGTGCAAAGGACCTGCAACATGACGATGATGATGATGTTATCAGTGCTACAAATAACAAATTGTGTATAATTGTGATGTTTTCTCCTTGATAATGCAGGTATATAGTCCTCAAGAAGTGTGTGATAACTCTCTATCTCTGGTGAAAGTGACATATTCTGCTGCCATATTAGGTAAGGTTGAGCCTTCTCATTAGTTGAACTTTCATATGAGACATTATGTTAACTGGTTTTTTTTTTTTAAATTAAACATTTATTGTTAACTATTTTTGGGGTTTAAATAAACATCCAAAAACCATGAGTGGGTAACCCTTTGGCTCGGTACTATGGATATCGCAACTCTTCGGCCTTGATTCCATGATAGAAACCTTGTCAGAAATGTGGCTTTTCTGCCTACCCCCGGGCGTGAACCCGGACCACAAGGGTTGTTAACTGTTAAATTTTGTTTTCAAATCCAGCTGCGACTGGCTGCAGCCCACAGTTGGTGTTCGAAACCGGGCGGCTCCCGGGGTTCACCTAGCCTTTAGGAAATGGGTACCAGAGTTGACACTCTTGGGTAAATGGAGGAACGTCGCTGTAGCTACAGAGTTACGTGCGAACGGCGACACAGGCGGACAATTCTTATCAGCTGTCCGTACTGGTGGCAGAGCACTTATGGTTCATAACCGTGTGCAATGACGCTGGTTCACATCTCCCGACTTCACCCTTTTTTAAAAACCTTTTAACTGTTAAAAACACCCCCCCCCTCCCAAAAAAAAAAACACAACATATTGAAAAAAAATTGTTTCTTCTTCGCACTTCTGGATTGTAGTCCTATTCCAGATCCAGAGTGTTGCATGTGCATCTGTTTCACATACCTGACTTATTTGCATGCAGACTGTTGGTTCCTTGATTTTCAACGGCGAGGAAGACTCATAAGTAGTCGATTCTTACGACATGCTTTTGGGTAGGCAGTAGGTCTATTCTTGTATATACCTTCAGCCCACATGTGAAGGAAAAGGCTACACCAAGCAATGACCGGAAGCTGATAACATGCCGTAACCTTTAACAGCCAAGCTGACGTACCTGCTATATTGAACAGAGATCTGGTTGGAGACTGAATTCATATTCTACAGGAGCTCAGCATATCCAGAAATGACTCCCATTTTGGATATACATTGGTGAACTTATAAGAAGACATGTTTGTTCAAGTAAAGAAAATCCCTAGAGAGATATGGTCATTTAGGTATTAACTAATGTTGTTTCACATATATTACACCATGCCATAGTGTTGAGTGACAAGGCCTGTGAGATGCCTAGAAATCCATAATAGAAGATGAATGATCCTAGAACCATACAGTTTTGAAAATACCCATTTAAATGGAGACTGAACCTATACAGCCTTTACTAAGCCAGTGCAGAATTCATTAATATACCTCCACTTTAAGCAATCAGAGCAGCAGTAATTGATTTGAATTTAGTGTGGTTCTTTTTTTTTTTTTTTTTTGTTTTTTTTTTTTTTGGTAAAAAAAGGGGGGGGGGGGGGAAGGGAGTTTACCACATACATTGTGGGGCTATGTACATATGTCATTTTATATATTTTGTTACAGATTCTTCCAGACTGATTTTGGGTACAGAGGAAGGATTGTATTGTATTGAGCTGACCAAAGATCGTAAGAATTTGTTTTAATCTAACTGTGTGTATGTGTGTGGATTTAATCACTGTAGTAAATGTAAACATATTATAAGATGTCAGCTATATATGTCTTCATATGTGGCTTCAGGCTCCCATTTGGATGGGGGTGGGGGTGAGGTAAACCCACCGTCGTACTAATCACATGAATGGGCACCTAAGGGTTTGCTGAAATCAGATATGTTGGGGCGAAAGAGCACAGAGTTCACAGCCTGTCTGTAAAAACAACACATTGTGCCAACTGACCTCATGCCATCTGACTTCGTGCTAACTGCCCTTTTGCCAGCTGACCTTTTGAGGATGAGCCAGATTAGATTGCGTAAATAGTATTGAAACAAATGCACAAGTTAGACTGAGCCTCTCTATGTGAGTTTTAGGGCCCTATTCTGGGACCATTGAGACCTTGTTTGTCCTGAGTTCCCGCGAGGGTCACGCCCGTGGTTCCACAATGCATTGATTTACTTGTCTTGATTGCTTGATTTATGCTTAAAGCACCTCATTTGTGTTTTCTCACGCGAAAAAGACTTGCCAGCCCAAGAGACAGCATATCATTTGGTTTGGAGATGTATCAAGACTACCACAAGACAGTACACCACAGAGAGGCATATGACTTAGACACATGGGTAGAGAGTTAGCTATAGGTTGTCCATGCAAGAATTGGATAGATGGATGATATACAGAGCCTTGAATACCAGTATCTACAAAGCACATACCAAGTCACGCGTCAGTTGCCCCTTTTTCTTGTCCAGCATAAAGTTCTGGTTGTTTATCCACTTCTGGACTTTGGTCAGTTCCAAAACTTGTGTGTGTGTGTGTGTGTGTGCACATATATTTTACAGATCTGGCTTATTTGTATGCAGACTGTTGGTTCCTGGCCTTTGAGGCAGGTGCACTCCCTGCTTTGAAGGGAACACTCTGTTTGGTCGACTTTTATGACATACTTGTTATGAGGGCAGTGGGTCTGTTCTTGTTTCCCTACTATGGGCTCCAGAACCCACACAAGAAAGTTGCCTCTTCGAAATCTAATGCTAAAAGGCAGAGTAAGGATTAGAGAAAAGAAGGAATTAGACGATGATGGGCAAGTTTATAAATTTGATGATGGCTATGAAGGGAACATGTATAAAATGTAGCTACTTCAGTCAAATTTTTAAAATGCCCTCTACACCAATAAAACCAGCACAGTTAGATAGCTGTAAACAATCTCTTTACAATGGTACCTCATTTAGGCTTGTGTGTCATTTCTGAGCTGAGATATGTAGGTTTTTGTGGAGATGAGATGTAGAAAGCAGCTGCTAAAACTTGTGACCCAGAAACAAGGTTTTCTCTGCGCATGCGCACTTCTGTTTTGGCTTTGTTGACATTGGACTATCACTGGACAAGATGGCAGACAATGAGACACAGCCACATACTGATTGCCTAAAATATGTCGCTGTAAATTTAAAAAGCCACTGTACAGACAGAAATTTTTAAATATAAATGTAAAATTGGACGGAGAATTCAATTATAACTAGCATTACCAGTACGAGTAATTTTTAAAGCCTAAAGCCAACCCTGAATCCTTATCGCTATTTCCAATCAAACTGATGTAACAGAAAAACAGAGGACGTCCGGCTGTCGTAGACATGCGCCGTTAATCGAGTTCATTCCCGCTTTTTTTCAGCTATTTAGAGTGGGTGAAAATCACACCAATCGCAAAATTTCATGAGAGATTAGGACCCATCCCGAAACCCCAGCCGACATTTGCGAAACAAGTTTAGTACGGTTTCCGGGTAACGGAAATTGCCGAAAAGACTGCAAATTGTCGAACACTGTAGTCGCTATAAAATGGTACATTTGACATGCTTATCATGATCTCTAAGAGCTGTGGTAGCATAGTTGCTTGGTGCTTGACTGCCAGCCCTAAGATCTTGAATTTAAAACTACATCAAATCAGATCTTTTTTGTTTTGTTTTTAAAAGTAAAGAATTGATATGGATTTCCAGATCGGCCCAGAAACTGAAATAGTTTGCTGGATTATGTCCTGGGAAGCGAAATTGGCCGGCGTGATGCTGACCACATCACCCACTGAGTGTCGATTAGTCTAAAAAATATGGATTTAGCGTCATATGCCTGGTGTGTCACTGGGGTTTAAAAAAAAATGTCATTTGCTTACTTGTTTTACTGTTATGATCTTAGCAGTTTGGATGCATGTTGTATCTTTTGTTTCTTCCACAGAAATGACACGTATCGGTGATAAAAGCGAGAAGAAAGTCTATCAGGTTGAGCTCTTGACTGAGCAGCAGCTGGGATATATAGTTTATTTAAGTGGTGAGTGTTTATGTTAGTGACAGGTGTTTGTAATATGGCCAGTGTTTGTATAGTGACATGTGTTTGTATATTGCTAGTTTTTGCATAAGTGGTGTTTAATGGTAAATTGTCTAAGTAGCGTTAATTTTAGAGAGGTATTTATGTGTGTGTAGAATTTTATTTATATGAGTAAAAGGTAAGGTAAATAAAGGTCCCTTTTCCACGCCTTTAGGCATATTGGGTATATAAGGCTAGACCTATATTTTTATAGACCAATCGGCACTCGGGTGATGTGGTCAGCATCATGCCGGCCGCCTTTACTTTCATCTTGTACCCACTCAAGTCTAGGTCAACCTGGGAGTCAAGGTCATTTCCAAAAAAAAAAAATTCTGGTTCCGTCGGAGCACGAACCCATGACCTTTTGATCCGCAGGCGGGCGTCTAGCCGCCAGTGCCACGGCGATTCCCTATTTATATGAATGATAAGTTATGTGTATACAAGTGAAAAGTGTTTATATAATGTGTGAAACAGAGTGGCTAGGAAGACTTCCAAACATGGTGACTGAAAAACGGACTCACAGGGCATATTGAGAAAGGGGGACACAGGATTGCTCCGTGAAGAGTGGCAAGCATTACTTCAGAGGTCCCAGATAGTTAACGTCTTTTGGATATTTTCTCCAGGTCATGCTGGTGTGTTGTGAAATGAACAGGCAGACAGACTGGCTTGTTCTGCATGCACATCTTGGTGGTGAATTGAGGAATGACAAGCTAGATGTTGTAAGGGTGCTGAGACAAAAATAGATCATCACAGTCTTAGAAGAATGGTGTGTGAGGAGTAAGCAGGAGATGCTCAAGGAAAAAAATGAGACAGAAACACAATCAAATTGTTACTGGTAACTTCATAATTGGGACTTTATGCTTGCTGCTGAAGATGGGGATGGAGCGCTTAGGGAATGTCCCAACATTTACATTTAAAAAAAAACAAAACGTAAAGGAACCAAATATGTTATGTTAATCTCTAGTGCCGCGGTAATGAAAAAAGACTAAATACTTCTTGTATCAACAGGTAAGGGCTAAATATTGTTTACCTCTTTTTAAATAATGCATTCATGATTTTCCATTATGGTTATTGTTTGATTTGGTCACATGCAATGGTACTGAAAGAGTTAAACCCTAAAAGGCTGATATCAAAGAAAATAAAAAATTTATAGATTAAT